CCCCTTTTCTATTACTCAGTCAAGTATACTTTGTGTGTTTATATCGGTGTGAAAAAAGACATCGAGATTAAACAATTTATGTTTTGTTTCAATATGACAAAACGTTTAACCGAAGAAATGAGTTTTTTTATTATTGAAACATGAGTATGTGCAGGAATACAAAGAGTGTCCTTCCTTTTTTTCTACTACACTCAACAGTTATTGTTAAATGTAAAGAATCTTTGCCCAAGCGTATATTTCATCGTTTTCTTTGACCTATTGTGCAAAAGTAACCTGTCTTTTCTTTTGTCAACAAAAACAGGCATATCTCTTCCTTTCTTTCTCTTTATAATTTTCATTATAAAATCAAGTGTTAGTGTTTTTTTAGAACTGAGTTGATAATATTGTTGTTAAGTGAATGTTATTCAAATAAATTGTATCAGGTATGTTTTCTATAACTACCATGTTGAATAATTTATTATAACAAGACATGTAAGCGAACAACAATTGTTTTCAATTAGACCTCATCAAGCTTCACTCTAATATACATAACTGTCAACATATTTGTAAAATATCAACCAATCAAGGTAATTTGTTAAATAACCATGACAAGGAATAAGGATTGTAGGTGGGTTAATACGAATGTTCATAATGACACGACAATGTAAAAAAGGTGTTCAGATCGATAGACAGACAGATAGACATACAAAGTAGGTCAAAGATTGAAAAACAAAAAAGGCTAATAAGGTTATGTGGTCCTACGTTGAAGACAGGACAGTAAGCTAAATTTCCTTGGTGTTCTACTAGGTAGATGAGAAGATAGATCACTTCACAGAAAAAACAAATATACATGTCAATACGCACACTAAGTTTCTTTCCTATATAATACAAAAGAAATTTAGTGAAATGTTTGATAACCAGAGCAAGGAAAATCTGCTCAGATGACACTATAGTGTGAGTTAGAGCGGATTTCAAATTTAATAATGGAAATAGGTTATCCTCACAATTTTATTTTAAAAAAGCATATGAATAGACCGGTGAAAAGAACTGAAGCAGCAACCGCTCGAAAAAAACCACTATTCATAAAGCTACAATTTAATGGTGATATACTTAGTGAGATTCAATTCCACAGACTGTCGAGAACCATTAAAAGAACTTTTTATGCAGCTAACCTCCGTTTGTTGTTTTCTAGTCAAAAACTTATTTCGTATCAAATGAAGGACAAGTTATCTATTTTCGCCACTTCTTTGTGTATTTACGAGTTTAATTGCTTCTGTAGAGATAGTTACATCGGGCGTACGACTAGACAATTTAACCTACATATCACCGAACACCTACCTTCGCGGCTGCGTAAAGGACAGCTTGAATCTATAAGAAGTTATATTTTCTCGTATCTACTTGATAGTAATCACAGAATACACAAGAAGAAAGCGTTCAAAGTGATTTATCGCATACCACCGAACCTATTCGATGGAGTTTGTAGTGGACCCAAAGAATGTCAAGTAAACCAAAATGACAAACTACGTATAATTTGCAAGAAAAATGGATTTTATGATACATGTGTGTGAAAAGTTATATGTTATAGCACAAAATAGTATTGACAATGTTATAGATAATCACTGGTTACTTGGAGGTTATCTCTTCGGTATCGTCCACCACAATTTTAGGATACTCCAGAGATCAGAAGGTGATATTTGTCGTCTCTCCGCTGTGGTCGTCGGTCGGCTTGATTGTCGTAATATTTGGAAGTAGGATGAGAAGTCCTGTAAATTCCCAAGACAATCAGTTATTATGCACGACAAGCAATAATCATGGAGGCAGAAGTCGGAATGGTTAGAAGCACATTACATTTCCACGATTAGCAGCAGCAAAAGATGTAATTACCGCCACAACCAAAAACGTGTATGTATAAACAACATTCGTTTTTACAAGTATTAGGAATAATATACACAATGTGTAGAAGAAACGATGAAAAGGAAATGTTGCTTATAGTTGAAGTGGTTTATACACAATTGTATGCAGTTTCCACAAGTTCGAATCCGCCTTCTGCATATAGTTGAGGCTATAGGAATTCTAACCAACAATCCTATGTTCTGTATCCAGAAGAAATTTGTATAGCCTTTACCCCTGCCGTGGCCAGGGAGAACCTAATGAATGACTTTACTTAAAAACTTCAAAACGTACTTTTTATTTCATTTTGTTACTCCATTCACATCACTACTATATTCACGTCCAGCTGTTATTTATTCACCGCCTTCAACCTACAGTATCACGCAACCTTATTGTCTTTTTGTTTTTCAATCTTTGACCTACTTTGTATTTCTATCTGTCTGTCTATCGATCTGAACACCTTTTTTTTACATTGTCGTGGCATTATGAACATTCGTATTAACCCACCTACAATCCTTATTCCTTGTCATGGTTATTTCACAAATTACCTTGATTGGCTGATATTTTACAAATATGTTGACAGTTATGTATATTAGAGTGAAGCTTGATGAGATCTAATTGAAAACAATGTTGTTCACTTACATGTTATAATTTCCATGAGAATTTCTAGCATTGAGTAATTCACTCTCAAGGAACTTCTAGATCATTATTACACAACCGAGTTTGAGATTCCTGTTCCATGAAACATTCCTGTGCATGTTTGAAACTTCCAAGCTAAAAGTTTACTCGCCGAAAATGCGATATATTTGTAAATTTTTTAAAAGCAGATAGAAGAAATTTGAAACAACACGTCTAAATTTTAGCTGACAAACAAAGCTTACTTATAACGCTTATAAGTAGGCAAACTCCAAAATAGTAATAATTATAAGCATACCATCCTTTAGTATTTACTAGTACTACTCAACAGGTTATTTTCACAATTATTTTTTTACTCGAAACTATATCTGCGAAAAACTTTCTGATATAATCACAGCCCCCAAAAACAAATAAAGCATATCAGAGAAGTGATTATTATGGCTGTCTAGATTTTGATTATAATTGAGTAGACATTATCAAAATATCTCCGCTAAATGTATGATCAGTCAGTGAACAGTAAAGCCCAACGTTTTATCAATAAAATAACGAATTCTATTTTTTAAGTGCCTGAATTCACATGACGTGTTTAGCTTGGAAGATCTTCTCCATGTGATTGAATAAACCCCTACCCATCCAGAACCATCTTGGATGTTTTCACTAACTCAGTTGATAGTGTCTAGAGATTTATTGATTTAAAAGCAGTTTTCATCATGGATTGAGATCAGTTGCAGAACAACTGAAGACCTGGTGGCACTAAACACTCGTCTCGTCCTAAAATGGAACTTCTCAGTATTGAGTACCAAGGAACTCACTAGGGATCTGACGACCATCAGTCCTCATAGTGAGTGCGTCATCTTTCAGTCACTGGGAATTCATTGGTCCACTACTCCTCACTTCTATTAATTCCCGACGTGGTACGACCATCATGAAATGTTATAAGCACGCACCTGCCACACTCTCAACTTTGCTGCAGCTTTAACTGAGGCTTTCTGTGCAAGATTTTAAGCTGGGTTTTCTGTTTCTGTCAATCCAACGTTTTTCTATTTAGCATCAACTGGATCCATTCAACGGTTTATTATAGCAATGAACTTGTGTTAGTTCATACAGTGTGAACAGGAGGTTGAAAGCCTCATTTGCCTACCAAATGAAATCAGTCACTATAAACAAGCAATAACACACAGAGAGGAAAATACGGACAAGAGGAAGATCAACTATTAGGAATATAATGCTGATAAGTATATAGGTTTCAGGGCAATTCACTATAGGTGAAGAACAGTTCCCATGATCCTCAACTGAGGGGACGATAAAAATATTTACTCGAACCAAAAGAAATTAAACAAACAGTCCATGTGCACACCATAACAACAAAGTTACTCATAACATGTACAGTAAGTGTTAGTTGGATGGAAGCAATCAGCAGGAAGCCGTGTATGGCCTAGGTTTCTTACTCGCTGGCATTAATCAACAAGGCATGTCTCTAACTGCAGCAGTGGTTGACGCGGATTTGAACCTCAGAGAAGTTATTAATTCCCTCAAGGTTGCAGATGAATGCTAACAAGTCACATCGTTAAACTTGATCGAAAGACTTTGAACAATCCTTAACACCAAGTACTAGACAGCTACATCAGTTACAGACTAGAGCTAATTAGCGTACATAACTGTCTCCATCATAACCAAACTAAGTAGGAAACCTCAGTATTTCTAACAGATAAGCAAAAACCAACGTAGGATCTGATGTAGAAGTGCATCGATTCAAGCTACAACACATCACAGCAGCATGAAAAGGAGTGAATAGGAGAAGAAATAGACCAAAGTAGATAAACGTTCGAGAGCGAGGGAGATGAATATCACTTAAAATATCATAACATTGATTCTTGCCAACCCGAGGACTCCAACTAGGCAGTCTTCTTACAAATCTCAGACCAACAGTCGTAAACAACATGAACTGATGTCACGTCTTAGCCTGGCCGCTCTTATATTTCCACTAAATCAATCCTACTTTGGCGGATATTTCACGTTGAGAGAAGCGGTGGTTTGACATACGTAAGATATATCCATGATATTTCAGCAAGCGAATGTTAACAACCTTACTATCTGACATGTCCCCCCCTAACTTTATTGGTCGTACGATGATTCTACAGCACCTGAGAAATGCTGCCAAGACATGAATGAACAAAAACCTGTAATGTTTTCACAACTGATTTTAACAGCCACACTAGAAACACCATGGGTGAATCTCACTTTCATACAGATAAACAACTATTGTACGAATCAGAAAACAATGTGAATGTTTAGTGAAGACACAGTACGAAACGACATACAAGACGAGAGGAGAACACTAAAGATTATTGGAAAGGAATAACTTCTATAATTTCAAAAATACAATCTTTAATTCTTCATAGTGTGAGATCATATATGAGATCCAAGCACAACATATGTACAAACACACAGAGAGATGCCACTAACACGGAAACTCATATATTGCATAAATACCATCATTTTTTGGTGAAGAAACTCGTGATCGACTGCACACCCTTTGGAATTTTCGCCTTCTTTGTTGCAGGCTAAAAAGTCAAAAAAATTGTAAGTCATTACGCATAAGTCTGTTAGAAAAAGTGCAATATTAAACTGCCATTATATCTGGAAAGGCAAGGGTATAAAGGAATATGAAGTGAATAAGGTTAACATCTTTCAGATGTTTTCGAAGTACAAACCATCCTCCACATTCCCTCGTTTGAAAAAATGCAACATCTGATATATGTTAGCGAAAGAATGTTAAAATAAATGCAATTCACTTCTTGCGTTAGACGGGTACAATAAAGTTGTGATACACGTTCCAAGTGAAGGGAAAGAGGGTTGATAAAACAATCAAATTACACATGACAAATACTGTTGGTGTAAATCGATTGAAAACAAATTACCATTAATGATTTATGTTCTTGAGAGGATGAAAAATGCACGCTTGACTGACGGCTAACTTTATACGTCAGATCCATGGACTTCAAACCCGGAAGAAATAGAGAAGAGTGGACTGGATGGGAGAGCTTAGTCAATTAACCCAAAAACAAGTGTGTATACATACATAACCTTGTCCGGAAACTGAACATTAACAGTAAAAACAAGATGGATTAACCTATCAGAGAATTACCCTGAAAAGGCGGAGATGAGCTACTGGTCATGCTATAAAACTAGCGCGAAAATATTAATTTGAAAATGTTCAGAATAATAAAAAAATATTTCATGCAAATCTGGGGCTTTCCAACATGATTCACCACAGTTCTGCTATGTGCACAGGTGTTGCCACTAACTTCTGAAAAGTGTGACGAGAAAGGAGGCTAAAATTCCCAATCACACAGATCGTTAAGTGACATTTCTGATGAATAGAGGGACCTTAAGAATAAATTCCACACGGAATTACATTTTTTTAGGATAACGGCCACTAACTACAGCGCACACATATCTTTACCATGTGAAATATGCCCGGGAAGGTGGATTGAGCAAAAATGTAGCATTCTATCAGAATGGAAATGGACTGAATTGAAAAAGGAGGTATATTCAAACGAAATTAATCTGTACCGAAATATCTCCACCTTAGCTTCGAATTATTTTGTAAACTGACTGTGAATTGTGCGCAGTTTACAGTGATACATCTCTCATAGTACAGTGACTTCATTTGTTTACAACACCAATCATGTCAACATGGTTTCTATTGGAAACGAAATATCTTCAAATAAAGTTGTGCGCCTGCTTCCGGATTAAGTGAGCAACTTTCGATGAATTTTCACTATACACGGACAGACACACGATTGGCATCTGATAATCTAAAATACATGGATCCATATCTACTATATTATCGCTAGTGAAGTTAACATTCAGTAGTGTAGACACTAAGTTTACAGTTTCGGAGTTCAATGCCAAGGTTCATCAATTTACGATGGTAGTTCCGAAAAGAACATAGTGATGAAGTCAATTCACATATACCAAAATGGGGTTGATAAACAAATAAGATAACTTGGGCATAATTGCTCAGTTACATAATTCACCTATTACTATTGTTACTATTATTATTATGATTATGATTATTATTATTACTATTAGTATTACTGATTCATCACACAAACTACTTTTATCAGGAAAATAAGCAAAAAAGGTTGAAAAAAAGTGGATACCTCATTCATCTTTGGTCCGTTCAGCTTCAAAGCAGATGAGTAGTCTTCTTTAGGTTGACAATTATCCGACTAGTACGGCAAAAAAAGTTGCGTTGTGTTACTTTATATGACAATAATAATAATAATAGCAGCTTTATTCTGAAAGCTATTTCGGGAATACGCTACAGAATCTTCAACATGTCACATAGCATCAATTTGACAGAAAGAGTGTACATGTATACACAACAAAATGAAATAAGTATAAATTACACATACTAGATAAGAATATTCACTCTACCTACAACTTTCTTCAAAAGGCACAATTAATTTAGATAGACAATCACATTAGCAATTAGATCCATAATACATAAGTAGTAGCATGATATATACTCATCAACTAGTTTGCTTTCAGAAGCAGAAGTTGATTATCACTTGACTATTTGAGATAGCCGTAGTTCATCACACTAGTATTTATACTGGGTGATGATTAAAGGTAAGATGAAAATCCGGACTGCGGCCGGACTCGAACCAGCTACCATCGGGTTACCGGCCCGGTGTTCTACCAACTGAGCTACGAGGTTCGAAGTTGATTAGTTAGTTCACTTGTAATACTTTCTTCATCGCACAGGAGACGAGCTAAAAATGGTATTATTGAGCTTTTTTATTTGTAGTACGTGTACAAAGTCTTACATACTTGCTCCTGATTTTGGCTGAGGACTGACACGTAGAGAGCTTTTATTGATGATGCTGATCATCTGATAAAATAACTGCCAGATGTTTACATGAGTTAATATGTTTGTCTACAACTGACTTAACTAGGAGGTTTAGAGGTACACTACCGGTTTTACTGATAGTGTTCAAAAAGTATTACGTAACATACTATAATCTTTTTTGGCAACCCAGGAAAGAATAAAGGGAAACAACAGAGGAGAACGGTCAAGATCCAGGGAGTTTATAAAATATAAGAGAGGGGGCTGAGTTGTACCAGATACTCTCAGCTTCCAAGTATAGTGAGTTAAATGGGAGATTCTTTTAGACATTGGTAAGATACAGGAGGACCGGGAAAGGTCCAAAGAAAAAAACATTTGTAACATTCTCTCATACACAACTCTCAATAGAACAGGGAGCATTAGACTTAGGCAGTTTACATAGGTTACGTTTACGTCTGAAAAGAAAGTTTTTAGCTTGACATTTTGAAAAATCAAGGATAAGACCATTTCACAAACGACCATTGTCTAACAGTTGGTAGGAAATCGCTCAGCTGAGAGCAAGCTTCTGTAGAGCAGACAGGAATGGAAACTGTCAAGCCAGCGGCATATTTGATGAAACTGATTCCAGCTGAAGATGATAAGTCATTCAGAAAGAAAGAAAGACGGAGGGAAAGAACAGGACCTTGGGAAACAAAGCAATGAGACAGAGCACTTACCTCAGCGAACAGTATGTTGTTTCCTTTCAGAGAAATAGGAATACAACCAGCTGATTATCTAGGACTCAGTATTTGTCCCGGTTAGCTTGTCCAGCAAAACAGATATTGGGACAGGATCAAATACTGAAGTAGGGTCTAAAAAGACACACCTGACATACTGGATATTTCTATCAAGATTAAAGGCAATATCATGATATAAGACAGTGCCGTTTCCAATGTATTCAAGTTCCAGTATATCGAGCGAACAACACAACAAATTAAACATTTATGCAATACATTAAAAGCTAGTGTTCGCTAAGCATTGTGGACAAGAAGTGTTGACACACTGAGATCCATTTCATTGAGTTATTTAATCAACTATTTGAAAGAATTAGTCCGCTTAATAAAATTCGACAAAATAAGAAGACGTAGTTTATCTGAACCTATTTATCCATTATTACATTTCATATAGATATGCATTCACAAGTGAATAACCAGAGAGTTTTGTGATGTATGGTACGAATACATCATGTTTTAGATAAACCAATTCCTCTTATTGTTTTTCATAATCGACTGTTCGTTAGAGTGCATAATTCTTGGTGTAGTTGTAAGAAACAACCAGACTGAGATGCAGGACAGAATATTTATTGTGACATTTTGTACAGTAGTGATGAAATATTGTACACTTTCCATTAAAATAGTCACTTGCATAAGGTGTTTCATTTCCTCTTCTGCTTCTAGATCGACTTGCTCTTAATAGGCTCAGAGTGTCTCTTCTGTTCCTCTGGGGAGAATATTTATCCATCACTGGTAATTGCCTATGATTTCTGCGGACCTCTCAACATATACTACTTATATCCATTCATATCAGTAGCACCCACCACATAGTGACTACATTTCTCTATTTAAGCAGCCACTGAGTGCAGCGACATGACGTTTCGTTCTTGCTTTATATTGGAATCTTTAAAGAACCAGGAAAATATTGTATATAAACTAATACGGTAATTCAGGTCAATAGTAATAATAATAATAAACTTATTCAAGATGGCTCTTCAATCAACCAATCAATATCAACATAGGACCAGGCATTATTGGGTAACGGTCCGAGTTGCTACACCTCATATCAGTACATCAAGTAGAAAGGCAGTGAGGTGAAGGATGAAGATAAGAGAATATAATCAAAAGAAATGCAAAGTACGAGGAGAAAAAAAGAGGAGTGACAAAATGGTGAGATTCGGTATAGTGTCGTTAAGATGAGGATAATGAATGTATACATCTACGCCACTGACATCGGTTCTGAGCCATGTGATCACCTAGAGTCTCCAACCACTGGTTCCTCTTGTCCCGCCGACCACAACCACCTAGTCTGCATCACCCTACATGGCTCAAACCAACAGTCAGAGACTTCATACATTGGTGCCATGTTTTAGTGTGACCACCTCGGGTCTTTTTCCAGCCTGAACCTACTTCGGCCAACATTGTGTGACGAGGCAATCGGTGGCTGGGCATACGTAGTACGTGTCCAAACCATCACAGTCGATGAAGGTTAATAACCTCGTCAACTGATTTACCTCTTCTCCCTAAAACTCTACACCTGACTTCTGCATTACTCACGTGGTGACACCATGGAATACGTCCCATACTATGAAGGCAACGGTGGTCAAACACTTGAAGCCTTCTTATATCTTCTACTTTCAATGGCCATGTTTCACAGCCATACAGTAGAACAGACCTGACTGCTGTACAGTACACGCGACCCTTAATAGACGAACGGATATCACGGCGGCGCCATAGGTGGCGCAAATTGGCAAAAGCCAATCGAGCCTTTTGTATCCGCGCAGAGATTTCACCGGCCACTGAGCCATCAGGGTTGACCCTACTTCCCAGGTAAGTGAATTGGTCGACACACAAGCACTTCACTCTCTATTGTTAGCCACGGTGGGACACCGCTGAAGACCAGTCCTGGAACAAACATTTGCATCTGGGTGGTGAAAACCGCATCTTACACTTCGATGACACATAGACTAAAAAGGGGAATCACGCGATGAGTGCGTAGATTCAATCGAAGACTACTATCCATAGGTTCATGGTGAATTGCTATCTTCAGAGTTTGCACATACAAGTATTTTAAAGCTGTCCCAGTCGAACCTATAGCTATGGTTGTCACTGTGTATTGAGATGAGAGACTTCATATAATGATGGTTGACAGCCGGTTTGTGTTCATGTACGAGTTGTAATACTGGTCTACAAGACTATCCAATGTGGTGACATTCCCAGTTACCGCAGTTGACTTTGAAAACAACACTGATCATCTCTTCTTTGTGATCTGAGTTGTTCCGTTTGCATAGGATATCTTGCAGCGATTTTGTTGGTTTATGTGACACTGTGATTCTAAGTGTGTGCAGAAATCTGACTACCGTTTTCGAGATATTCTCGATGCAAAGAAAGATGACTCTACTATGAACTTTTTCGATAGATTCTGACTTTGTTCATTTCAAAAGGTATTTCTCGATGAAATTCTTTACATAGCTGAGTAGGAAGATTTCGAACAAACATCTTTCTCTCAGATCTTTGATTTTATTGAACTGCATCGTTCGTCGGTTCGTCTAATAGGATTATTACAGCTTTTCTTCTTTGACATAATATTTTTGCAACTGTAGTTTAGTTCTATATTAGACTTGTTTATTTAATTTATAACACATAGTGATACAGTTTTATTTGTTTGATGACGTTCCGAGCATTAATTATTACTCATAATCATATCAATGTAATCACACTACTTTCGACATCTGCTTTTTTATAGTCTTACCACCTATTATTCTTTGTTTCTGTTGGTAGTAAAGTTTTCCATATCACTGGTATAGGCGTTGCGTCGTTCGTATTACATATGTTGAGTGTAGATTCGATGAACAAAGATTCAGTAATCAATCTCTTTCTCCCACCCCACTGTGTAGTTGTGTGTTAATGCCATGCACTGCAATAGCCGAGTTTTTTTCTAGACTATTGATCTTATTCGGGTCTGTCATTCTATATTTAGCCAAATTTCTATGTTCCGTTATTGTAACTGATCCCGACCGGCTAGTTTAACCTGTGTACTTGACCTTGCAGTTATTACATGGAATTTGGTAGATTAAACTATTTTGCTTGATTGTATCTATCGGATCCCTTAGCCGACATAGCTTATCTCTGAGTAAGTTTACCGGTTTAAATGCCACCCAAATTCCAGCTTTGCTGAGAATCCAACCTACAGTTTCTGATGTTCCTTCCTTATAGGGTAATACAATGGAGGCTGTGAACTCCTTTCTACTTGTATAGTCGTTATTATTCGTACTCGTGTTATTGTTATTATCTCGTTTCTTGTGTGTTCGTATGGATTTCTTAATAAACTGTCGAGGATAATTATTAACTATTAGAGCTTTTTTTTATGTGCTTCAGTTCGTTGTACTGACTAGTCATTTTTCTAGCTCTATCATTTAGACATTTGACTAAACCTGCTTTAACTGACATTAAATGGGATGACTTAAAGTCAAGATACCTGTTGGAATGTGTCGGTTTTCAATCGTTGGATTACGGGTTCTGAAATTGTCTCTGAGACTAGTTATCCCATCGGAGTTTCTATCATTTGTTCACATGTCTCTCTGTTGAACTGAAAGCATGCGGATAAGCGAAGATTTGTTGTTCCCATTATTTCTGGCACTATTAAGTAAATGCTAGTTGACCACTTACGCTATGAATACCGATGCAACTACCCAACAAGCCATGTGAAAGGAAACACGCTTGGCTTGAAACGATGATTCAATGCATGAAAGTTAATAACTTATATTTGACTTACATTTTCCAACTTCTCGAACGACTCATCAAAAGGATCCACATTCTCAGAATCTGCTGAGCAAGGGTTTGTGTCTTGTGAATTGTCTTCTGAAGTTTTAGTCCGATCTTTTCTCGAAGTTTGCTCGATATATCTGGTGTAACATAATCAGCCACCAACTGAAAAGCCAAATTTAAACATGCTTGCTGTGGTATTTGACTGGTTGACAGTAGTTGCGCCTCCTTAGAACCTAAACAGGTGATAAATGAATATGAGACGCTAACGTTTTGGCATCTTTACAGGTACATTGGCAGAAGTGACAGACAGGTACAGAATCAACATATAACCTCGCATACAAGTGCATTGGTTCAACTTGCCACATTTCACAGTAATCCACGGAGAACAGGTGGATAGAAAAAGTGATATCAAAGTGGAAAACGCTGTGTGAGAGAATGAATAATTTGTAGATAAAGATTAGTGCGAATGTTCAAGCTTTAGAAGATATCAAGGAGTGAATAAATCTGCCCTATTGTGACCGATTTTTAGCCATGTAACCAACAGTCTACAACCACTATCACCTCTGAGATCTCAACCAAGCAGTCTACATTGCCCCACACAACTCAGACCATTAGTAAGACTTTATTCATTGGTGCTAGGTCTTGGTCTGGTCACCCTGAACACTCTTTCAACCTAATCCCAGCCCCAGAAAGGCACGTTGAGGCAGACAGTGACTGGCCATGCACAGTACATAGTCAAACAATACTAGTCGAATAAGGTTCACAACTTCATTAATCGACTTGGTTTTCTTGTTTAGTACCCTTCGCTTGACCTCAACATTGCTGACACGGTGATTCCGTTAAACGCTAGTAATGCTACGAAGACTATATATATATATATATATATATATATATATATATATATATATATATATATATATATATATATAATATATATACATATATACATATATATATATATATATATATATATATATATGAGACGTAAAAACCTTGTTGTACCTTCGCATCTTTCACTTTTAATTGGCATGTCTCATAGTCATACGGGAGGAGATGGCGGATTCAGGCGCCAGGTAGAGCAGGACTACATCTAAACTTTTCACTTTCTGTAGCAAAATTGACAGCTCATAGAATTCATCCTTTGTATCAGCCGAACTATAGTCGCTGGGTGAGCAGGCGGAGATTACGAATACCCATTGCCTTGTCTCACAATTCTACGAGAGCTAGCCATTAGGTTTCGGCATACTCGTAAAACCCACTACTATGGCCAGATGAAGTCAATTTAATTACCGCACACGGGTTCTGTATACGTTTCTCAGAGACACAGCACACATCCATGGATGGAGATTCCAGAGTTCTGGGGAGCAATGTCTGCTGTCTGATTTGGCATAGAGTCTAGGTGTTGAAAATCCCTACATGAAATTGATGGCAGAGTCTTAGAAGACTAGATATGAGGTTTCGATGGCTTTGACCATTAACAGTGGTTGCAGAGTGAGGTTGAGTAAGGTGTAGTGGACTTAATACTAGTATCAGGAGATGAAGGAAAATAAGGAGATATAGTTGAGGAGGATAGTTTGTGTTTAATTGTGTCTTGTGTAATACTGGAAGCGCGCGGTTGAGACTTCTTGGCTGCCCACATGGTGGAAGGCTATATCTTCTTAAAGTATCTAAAAGAGAAAAATGTTTAAGTGACCATACAGCTCACGGGACACTTCTGTTTGAGGCCTATCAGACAAAGGCCTTTGTAGGATGTCTTGAGCTTTGGTTGTTCTAACGCCGCATACAAGGCACCAGAAGCCCGTGGGGCATGGTGAAGTGTCTTATTTTGGAGGCTGGTTTTTTTAACCACCCGCCCCCCCTCCCAATTCCGTTGAGAAGGCAGTATCAGTGTGATACTGCTGGTCATACACGGGAAACACCTTACTTCTGTCACACCCCATCCAGTTAGCAGCAGTACGACTTAGCCCTCAGACCACCATCATAGTGTAGTAATTTACACTACGACTGTATTTTTCGACTTACCACTATCTAACAGATCTTTCTGGTATCATGGGACCTCGAGACAACGAGCGTTCCAGCAGCACAGCTCGTTAAGTCGTTGCGACATGTAAGCCCAACTATCGCATTAAGGTAGTAGCTATTTGCCGGATGTGATGACAATAAAATGAATCGAAGTAGGACAAAACAAAATAAGGAAGAGTTAGATATATTATAATGTTTCTGTATACATAGCTCTGGTTCATGATTGTGTATCACCAGGGCATATACCATACAAAGGTGTATGCGTGCACCTTTCCATAAGCTTGTTTGACCTCGTAAATAACGTCAGGTGGTGATCCAGACTGTATGGTTGTAATCAACTACATGTTGGAGAACTGATGAATTCATGCTGCTACGCTCCCTATCTATGGAAATTTGTAGTTAGTTGTCCACGCCACGTAGATTTTCTCTGAATCGATCTATTAAGAGACCTATCAGGTTTCCTTGTTATTAGCATACCAAGAAATGGAATTTTCGAATTCCTTTCTTTCTTGAGTGAATTTAATAGACGATGGCAATCATTCAGTGTCTTCAATGTGCTTTGCTAACCACATGTATGACCACAGATGATAAACGTATAGTCCATATGTTTAGCTTTAAAATACTTTGTGCAAATTAGTTTTTTTCCAGTTTCGTTAAGAAGAAATCAGCTGAAAGTGAACTTAATGGGGAACTCATTGGGACGCTATTTTTCTGTAAATAGATCTCTCATTGTTGAAAATGAGCTGAACATTAGGCGTGAAACTAAGGATGAGTTCCCTAAATTAAGATGTGGGTATCTCTACATTTATGCCGTGTGTGTCAATATAGTAGCTTACAAAGTATACTGTTTCATTAAGTGGGACGCTAGCAAATAGAGAGAAAACATCTAACGAAAACATGGTTTTATCACAAGCATTTAAACCCTTAATACAATGAGGAAATTCAAATGCATTGTGCAGTCAATGCTTACGGATTTGCTTTCTTAATGGTTTTAGAAGTTTAACTAACCACCTGGCAACAGTGATAGGGGGAACCAGATATATCTAAAATAGGACGAAGTGATGGTCTAGATTTTTGAATTTCGGGTAGACCATAAAATTGGGGAATGATAGATCCAATCGATAGCAATTTTTCATATCGTTTCAGAGTTTCTTTTCATTCCTTCCACAACTTGAGTAATTTTTCTCTTCAATAAATTCCGTCTTGTTCTTTTCACCTTCAGGTTTCTGGAACTTTTCTTCATTCGAGAGATTACTAAATACTTCATTACTACAGTTGTGTCTCTTTACTACTACGATACGTGCTCCCTTGTCAGGTGAAGTTAACAAAATATTCTTGTTTCTTTTAAGTTCATTCAATTGACTAAGGTGTTCTTTGCTGAGGTTATATGATTGTTTCAGCCCTAGTTTTACAAACCGATGTACACAATTAGGCAAAATTGATTTGAAATGATTGAAATCACCTGATGTTGTTGGCGTAAGATCATTTGTCTGGCTGGTCAAATTTTCAAAATGAATTTTATTAGGAACCATATTGGAATTTGTGTGAGAAACACAGAAATTTGGACTAAAAGAGAACACCTTATGTTAGATAGTAGAGAGGTTCTTTGAAGAGTGATTAAGATATTTCTTTGGGTCCTTTGGCAATTACCTACAGGGTGATACATTTTTTCAGAAAACAAATCTCATTTCCTCAGGAGTTCCCTTTGGTTCAAATTTCTGTATTCCTCACAAAATGAAAGCCTCACAGTGAAGGAATAGCTACCCCGGCTACGCAAATGATGATGTTTTCTAATCAGTCGTTCGCTGATATAGACAGTAATTATTCAAATGGTAGGAACAACATAATGATATCCTTCCAGCTTCCGGTTAAATGAACAGTCGAAGATTTCTCCACGTGACAAATGGTAGTCCTATGTAAAAACACTGCCACGCTTACGTGTAGCCCAACACTCATCGTAGCGTAGAACTACATATTTGGGGTGAAGTAGCCCCAATATAGTCGACCACGATACATAATGTTCTTTAACTAATCTAGCTGCAGGCAACCTTGGGAATGAGAAGTTATATTCCAAGAATGTAGGAGACAGAAGCATTAAATAAGGAATGTATACGACTGATAAATTCACAGGTGTTCGGCTGGCAGTGATTAAAAACGCGAATTATGCAAATTTAATAAGTGGAGTTTTAGTTCACTGGCCTAGGAACTCGACCACCAGCTAGTGAATCACCGGATCGAATCCTGCTTCCCTTACCGAAATTTGGGCAGTCAAACAGTATCAGTAGCCCTCACATAACACACTTAATTTATTGTCTACTTCCCGAACGTGCACATGGTTTCTGAGTGCATTTCACATTCATCGCATTGTTTAGTAATTGAACAACGTCCAGTTAAACGTCATAATAAAAGATCGAAACTTAACCAGAAAGTAGTGAACAAAAAAAATTGCCCCATTCACTATTCTATAGATGTTTTAGCAGTAAATGAAGAAATTCTAGCATCTAGTACTATAAACAGCAGATACCTAAAAAAAGACAACTGACCGTACGATTGATGTGACCATAGAAAATAAGGTTATGCCCATGCGAAAGCTGTGGAATTAAGACAGAAAATCTTCAGTCTGTAAAAGACAATACCAGTCATAGTCTCTTGGAATCACGTTTCCAACGAAGAATTGGCGTTTTCAGTGTCCAAACCGCATGTAAGTAGGTCTCAACAGTCAAAACTCTGATATTCCGGACCATGGACAGGAAATGTTGCAGAAACTTACAAAGCTCAACCATGATTATTTCTCTAACTTCATCTACCTAACGTAGCTAATTTGTACGGTTGACTCTTTGGGAGTCAAATCACCAAGTGATCAATTTCACTCAGATTGGAAGTTTAGGGTTAGCATCAAGTCCTACTAAAAAAAATTACATATTTCCTTCAGATATCAGTTGATTTCTGCCTATATGATGTTCGAGAACGTAGCTTTGTAAGTGAAAACTATGTGATACAGCTTATTTTCTGTTTACGGCTTTTGGCAACACTAAAAGGAATTCAGACAAGTTGAAGGATAATTTCTAAAAACAACTCCATGCCATACTAAAAAATGCAAAATACTCATAATATTATACTAGTCAGACATAAAATCTAGGTAAAATCTCGCACAGAAGTGCATTTTCGAATGCTAACACTGCTGTAGCAAACAAAGAACAAGTGTGTAGAAAAATAGCGACATCAAAGTAAAAAAAAACCGAAATCTACTCAGTGACCTCGGGGACATCCGTTAAGTGGATAATAGGCCGCAGCTGTGTGAAGCTCAATGATACTACCTGTTTGCCTAAACGTCGTAAGATAGAGCGACGTTCGAACCCGCGACTCAACTCACTAAACCAATGAGCCACAACTCCACGTGGTATAAAAAGTAGACAAAAGTGTATACGAGGTAAAGGAATTTGAAAATTAGGGTTCGTGAAAATATCCAAGTTTTAGAAGACGTCAAAGAGTGAATAGATACGCACCATTGTGGGCGATGTTCAGCCATGTCAGCAAGAGTCCTTAACCACTGATTCCTTTTTCACAGGGATCCCACCCGGGATCCCTACACTGCTCAGACCAACAGTCAGAAACTTCATCGGGTGGTGCTACACTTTGGTCTAGATACCTTGAATCTTCTTCCAACCCAGCCCTACTCAAACTAGCACCGCACGTCAAGGTAGATGGTGGTTTAATATGCGCGACGCTTCACCATACCGCCCCAGTCACTGAAGATTTATGACGTCACTGACTGACTTGCCTGTTTTTTCTATACCCTTCGCTTGAACTCTACATTGTCTATATCGGTGATTCCGCCAAACGTGAGCAATGCTACGAACACATGTGGCCAAAAGACTGTGGTTGATTCATATCTTTTACTTTCAGTGGCCACATCTCGTAGATGTATAACAGGAAATAGTGGATAGCAGCGCAGTAAACTCATCCTTTAGTAGTCGGATATCACCAGCAAGAGCCAGCGATGACGCAAGTTGGAAAATGTTGAATGAGCATTTCATATCACAGTTGAGATTTCGTCTGCAACCAATACCTTCGAGCTGATGCAACTCCTTCAGTAAGCGGAATGATCAATGCATTCTACCACTTCAACTCCTCTTCTTGACTAGGAGTAGCTGAAAGCCAGTCCTAAAGTATTATCTTACACTTGATAGATGCGAAATGCATGCCAAAAATATCTAGTAGTACGTGACTTTAGCCAACTAGTAGAAGGTTTGAGTCAATGAAAAAAAACTCGGGGGTATTTTTATAATTCTATTTCGAAGAACCCATAGTGATCATCGTCTCTCGAAATCTCATCTCGCTAAGACTTGTCCTTGGTCAAAACCAACTTGAAATTTAAGAAGACGATATAGTGACTGGTACTTAAAGATAGTAAGTAAAGACGAACATGCATGAATAACTTCTATCACACCGCGATGTGCAAAGTTAAGTGCAATAAAACAAGATAAGAGTGGTCAGACCGAGATATATAAATGTATGAAGGTCAACATGAATAAAATTATCCAATTTGTGGTGTACAAACGCACCATAGACATAATTAGCTCATGAAGTCTAACTGACAGCCTTAACCATGTAGTGCAGTTCACAAATCCCAGGTGCTTCCTTCGGAATGTTATAAATCGGAGGTTGTTAACTTTAAGTGACGATGTTAAAAAGTGATCACTTAACTTATGTGCATTTTATTGGTTAGTTCTCTCCTTAAACGTCATTCTGCTGGTTTTGTTGACAAGCAACTTATGACCATTCTGTTTCTGTGCCGTTTCGAAATAACACGATTTGATTCGCATTATCTTGTGCGAGATCTTACGTGAAACTGTCTGTAATTTATAGGTCTAAAACAAATTTAAGGATTTAGAAATTAAATACATTTTAATAATAATCTCACTAGATGTGAATTCCGGAACCCGTGAATCTTCATTTCCTCCTCCATTGTGATCAGATGAAGAGCTGGAAACGACTAACCGAAGTTGAGAATTTAGGACATGATTTCTGCTAATCAATAAAGCATCAGAGACAGCAGATATCCTATTTGATAACCACTCCAATGTCCGAGACTCACTGTAACGATAAACGGACATGCCACCAACACCTAGAAAGCAAGTGATTAATTCAGATTGAAAAGCTGTGTACATTTGGCGATTTATTAAGTGCTGAAAACTAAATCCCCAGTTGGTTTACACTTCAGATGATAAATAACGTGCATATATTCTAGGCCTACTGGAGAATCAGATTAAATCAAATCTTAAGTTTACTCCTCCTATCGAATATAAAATGGTAGTGTTTTACCCACGTATGTTCGTTACTTCTAGCATTCCTTCGGTTTTCTCCCTACTTTTTGCTGTTAACAATATGAGAATACTTTTAAAAGCCAAAATAAAAATGACACCGCTCATCACCGACAACTGTCTTTGAGATAGTTTGACCAGACACTAGTCCGATAAGCGCATCTATGTAGTAATGTGATATGGACACATCTTGCTGTTGCCTCTTTACCAGGCCACCAATGAGTATCAGATCACCGGAATACATTTAATGCTATGAGGAAAATATAAATAAATTCATGCAAAAACAATTGGAAACATAAACTGAATGATCTCTTCGAGATAATCGAGTCGGAATGAACTCAGCAAACTTGGATACATTCGTGTAGCATGCGGAGACACACCTATAGTGTGAGGGCTAACGATACTAGCTGGACTGACCAAACCACTGTGGGTAGAGAGGTGTTCAAACCCATGACTTAATGGTTAAAGGTCAATTTTATACACCAATTAACCATAGCTCCATCTCTTTGAGATATTTAAAGATTGACTTGTTACGCATATTTCGAACAACTTCAACCAAACAAAAGACCAAAATAAGCCTTCACACACCTTATTGACTTAAAGCCCAAAGCCCTATATAGCAGGAATTCACTAGATTACGATGTTACAGTTACCATTTGATCAAAGTTAAGCAAGTCCACCAATATCTGACACACTTGATACCTTAAAGAATAATGTGACTTGCAAAATCAAAAGCAGACTAACCTCAGCACTGGATGCATAGAGGCGCAGAATGCAGTCGGTAGATCATGCCTGGAGACAATGAGAAATATCGGACTTTCCATTATCGGGAAATTATCACTCAGGTTAAGACTAGATAAGTGTTAGTATGTGATCGATAGGACTACTTTAAAATGCCACTGTCTAGTGAAATGTAACTAATGTGAGTTTGCATTGGTGATCAAAGTATACAAAGGGAGTTTGAGTTACTGAAAGTAGACACAGCGTAGACTGATAAATGCAGGAGCATAACGGTAGAGGAGTCCATCCTTACGTAGGTAACAGTCAATTAGAGGCTTTCAGTCTCGTGTATTTGTTACAGTATCCGATGACTTTCCTATGGGAAACCTTCATTTGAAGGAGCAAATTAAGCAGATCCTCAAGGTCAAGAATTTGTTAACCGATTTCATTGTTATTTCACAAAAATCTTATTTACATCATTGACGTGGTTGCTTTTACAGCAACTTGCGTTAAACTGTAGTTATTTCGGAATTCCGAGAACCCGTAAAACTGCTCTAGACAGAGACGTTTTTAATTTATCTTTATTTCTGAGGAACAACTCTACAGGTTTCTCGAGAAATTCTGAGGAGAAATAGAGGGTGAATAAATCATCACAAGCTTAGATAACTACCGATTACTGGCAACATGATTCCTATAACAGGGGATAGCCTCATCCCATCAAATTGGTCCCCTCATTCAAATTTCAAAATACGACTTTAATAATCACAAAAAAAACCTACATTTCTTGTCACAGATGTTTTCGAGCCGACTCTCCAAGTTGTGAATGCTGCTGAAAACAGAACAACTGTCACCGGCCTCGCTTAATAGGGAGTCCCATGAAATAAATTTAGTCTAAAAACATTATTTAAATCTGCAGCCAAACCTGTCGTTTGCAGATTGATACAAAGAAGAAAAGTGGGTCGATTGGACTACAAATGTACATTACACCATCTGTTTGTATTCAAATACTTTAGAGAAGCATGAATTACCATACCAGTCTTAACGCCACCACCAAGTAACCAGGAGCGACACTTTTCATTTGTACTCTGAATTTCTAAAAGCTGAGAAGACTGACTTATCCATAAAAACAGGCATGGTGCGTCTTGAAAACGTGGTAAATGTAAATAACTTTGGTTTTACCTGATCTCGGGTGATTCAGTTTGACTAGGAAGCACTTAGAAGTTGGACTGATGACAGACTCTGTTAAGTATACATAGTAGTTACTAAAGCTGTACCTGGGACCAGAAAAACAGAACCACAGTCTTGCATTCCGGAGTAACGCAAATAACCAAACGCCGCTCATGTTTTTATTTTATCTAATACCGCTAAGTACAAAGTTTTAAGTCCAGTGAGCATGCTTCTCCCCATAATAAACAGTAGTAAAAAACTCTAGCCTTGCTTCCAAGTTGACGATAAAAGGTGAAAGTACTATACGCAGTGATAAACACTACACTGATTCAGGACACTGTCAGAAGAACGAATTCTCTGACATAAACAGTTCAGCCGTAGTTCAACATCAAGTGATAAGTTTGAAAATTAATGAAAGACCGTTTCTTTGGTTTCCTTCGAGGGCATTCTCAGTTCAGAATGGTCGCTGTCCTTGTTTTGGACCAGATAAAATCCAAGGGGAAGCGACCTAATTATCAGCAATCAGGTATCTCCTCATTTCGTTGCTACCCATGTCTTTTAAGAAGACAAAAAGCTTTCTGAGTCCAGTCTATCTGTCCCAAGAGATTCTAAATGGGTGTTCGGCCTCCCTCTGGAAGCAGAAAGAGGAGGGGGCTGTTGTAAACGGATACAGGCGGTTCTGAAGCTGACAGCTTTTAACTGAAAGTGATTCAGTAAGTACCCACGTTCGTTCTTTTTTATACACTGCTCCTAGATGATGATTCAGAAAACTGTCTTTGCCTGAAGTTTGCTGATAATCTGTTTTTAGAACCTTCAATCTTTTGACGCACATATTGAAAGTGGGCAGTTGACAAAATGACTCGAATAACGACAACTGTAATGACCAGTTATTTTTGCCTTTTCAACTGGAAAAATGGCTTCTTCGCAAAATGCGTAGCAGTTGTTGGTGTGGCTACTTCACTTCGAAGAAATTTCATGGATAGTCATCTGTGCATTCGCTTTTTATGCTTCTTTTTTCATAGATGTGAAGTGTCAGCATTAGAAGAAGAAAGGTAAACCTCAAAGTTTTGAACTGGCGGGCATTTTAGGAGTTGATCTCGACAGATTCCGAGGTCAACCACTAATTATTAGCATTTGTAACATGTCCACCAGTGCCGAACCAAGAAGGAACGTAACGTAGTGGCCGGACGAATTGGTAAATTTGAGAGACCGTGCCAAAAAGCCAATACATTCCGGCCAGCTGGCTACAGCATCACTTACCAGTCGCGTAACTTGGCGCCAAAACATGCCAGACCGTGTGGATACTTGGCTGTGTGCCCTCAGCTTAACAAGTTGTTAGGATCATGAAAGTCAACATTATTGCTGGATCGTGCCGAAACATAAGTCATTCGTCTGTGAGAAACCAGTGTGAAAACAGTAGCGTCACTGTAGCGTCACACACTTCCCCAGAATCAACAGCCTAGGGTTCGACGACATTCGACGTTGATGCTGACCTTGATAGTTTAACTGGACTTGCTGAGCTGAGGGCACCCGGTCAAGCATCCTCGCCATTTGGCACACCGCCGTGTTACGTTGCACTGCTCGTATTCGACTCTCTAGCCATTAGTTGGAATGCATCGGTATCTTGGTACAACCATCCCAATATACTATTCCATCCGACTACGCTATCGTGTTCTTACGTGGTCTCGTATTCCTGGGTACATAAAAAGTCCCAATAATTAGTGGTTGGTCTTTGGGTCTGTCAAGATCGCACCAGGACAAATCCTAAATTGGTGAGCCCGACGTGATCACATATCCCGACCAATAACAAACATTGAATTGGTGAGCCTGTTCTATTTTATATTTGCATATTGTTTTCATTTCCGTTACATTTATACATCCATTTACTACACTTTCTCATGTCCGACCACACTCCCAAGCTTATTCCTATTAAGCCGACTACGAACACGATCCAACTCGTGTCATATTGGCCAAACAATACGGAAATATGGTTTCTGTATGCTGAGGCAGGTTTTCGAGAACAGGGTGTCTCAAATCCTCATTCTCGAATTCTTGCTGTCATGCCTTCACTACCACGGGAATTAAACAAGCATGTTACGGCACACATGTTTAATCCTGCAGTAAGTGACCCTTATGCACTTCTCAAAGCCGCACTCTTGAAGGAAAGCGGCCTGACAGATCGCCAGCACCTGGACGAAATACTTCATAACATCGAGGTAGGCGGCCACTCAGCTATTGAAGTCCTTACACGCATGCGCGAAGTAATCGGTGCACGAACATTCGATGATGGCCTTTTCCGAGGACTATTTCTGTCAAAACTTCCACAGCCGGTGCAAACCGTGTTGGTGGCACTGTGGCCAGTCCCACTCGATGACCTGGCAGCCTCGGCAGATAAAATACTGGAGATCTCCAGCAGACCCGTCTCCAACGTATATTCCGTCTGCGACAAACCAGAGCGCCAGGATTCAGAGGTGAAGAAGCTGTGCAACTCTGTTAAACAGTTGCTGCAACCTTGGAGTCCTAGTTCATGTGGCACTCCACAGAAACGCATCTTAGAACATCGCGGCAACTCACGTAGTTGCCCCAAAACTGAACCTTACGGGGTGTAAAACCCTAAATGTTGCTGGTTTCATAATACTTACGGAGACGAAGTTAGAAAATGTCGGAAACCATGCAGTTTCAACAAGAACACAAGCTCGGGAAACGGTCACGCCGGCACGTGTTCACGGCAACCGTAGCCGGCGGGAACAGCCGTTTACTCTATGTCATGGATATTAAAACGAAAGTTCGCTACCTCGTTGACTCCGGCGCAGAAGTTACCGTTCTTCCAGCAACGACAAAGGAGCGTCATCTTGACCCATCCTTCAATCTCCAAGCCGCCAACGGCAAGACAATCGCGACATTCGGGGGACGGTACGCCTACCTCAACTTAGGTTTACGTAAACCTGTCCTCTGGATTTTCCTCCTGGCTGACGTTCCTATGACCACTATTGGCATAGATTTGCTAAACCATTACGATTTGCTCGTAGAAGCTCGCCGTCGACGACTGATAGGTAACAACACAAAGTTATCTATTGGCGGCACCACCTGTGTAGGTCCGAGTTTAGGCACCGTTAGGACCAAACAATCAGGGGACGTTGTCCTACCAGGCAGTTTTGGAGAAATATCCAGAGTTGCAGCGACCAAAACACACTCCTTCGTGCATAACCAGCAATGTTATGCATCATGTCACAACCACAGGCCCACCTGTGGCACCCAAGGTGCGCCGTCTTTCCCCCGATAAGCCCAAAGCGGCGAAAAGTGAATTTGACGGCACGCTCGAACTGGGCATAGTCAAGTCGTCAAACAGCCGTTTGGCATCACCATTGCACATGGTTCCCAAAAAGGATAGCAACGACTGGCGTCCAACCAGTCCTGCATTCAAATGGAATCCTACAAATCGCATTCATCAGTGGGAAATATTGCCATCAAAACCTGGTGACGAACGCGCACACCTCAAGGTCATGACTGTGATGCGGCCTCACCCTCAAAAATATTGGATGATTCAAACGATGGCCGGATAATCTTCAAATTCGAACTGAGCCTGCTTCAGCACACCTCCTACATGCCATAAATCACAGCATCTAATGTATAGCATAACATTGTACATAATAGTCATCTGTCATGACCAAAGTGATCAAACCTGTATACTGGTCTGTATTCATGTAACCTTTGTTCTATAAAATATATTATTATTATAACCGCTGACTACCGAAGGTTTAAGGCAAAAACAACTCCGGACTGCTACCCGATACCTCACGTTTACGATTTGACTGCAACCTTATGTGGAATGAACATTTTCTCCAAAATCGATTTGGTCAAAGCGTACAACCAGATACCTATGGCAGCAGAAGATATCACGAAAGCAGCCATTATTACTCCTTTTGGTTTGTTTGAATTCCTGCATACGCCATTCGGTCTTCGGGATGCAGCACAAACATTCCAACGCCTCATGGATGATGTCTTCCGTGGTTTGAATTTTGTTCATATCTACATCGATGACTGTCTAATTGCGAGTCCAGATAAGGAAACTCACCTCAAACATTTAGACCTCGCATTCGAAAGACTTAAAAAACATGGCATCACAGTAAACTTACAGAAGTGTGAAATAGGGGTTGAATCACTCAGCTTCCTTGGGCATACCATTGACAACAAAGGTATACGCCCATTGAGAGATAAAGTGGCGGCTATCACAAACTATCCAGAGCCGACCACTGTGAAACATCTCCGCACTTTCAATGGCCTGGTAAGTTATTACCGAAGGTTTATCCCTAACTGTGCCTCTGTCATGAGACCACTAACAGATCTACTTCGAGGAACCACGAAGTTCGTGTCTCTGGACAACGTAGCTAGACTTGCTTTCTCTAAAGTCAAGGAAGCCATTTCGAACGCAACCATGCTCATGCATCATGACCCCAATGCTCCTTTGAGTATTGCTGTTGATGCATCTGATTCAGCAATTGGAGCAGTTTTGCAACAATTGACTGACAACCAGTGGCAACCGTTAGCCTTTTTCTCGAGGCGGCTGCAAGACGCGGAAACAAGATACAGTACATTTGGTAGGGAACTCCTAGCCATGTACTGTTCTGTACGCCATTTTCGACATTCTGTGGAAGGTCGTGATTTCATTATTTTCACAGACCACAAACCGTTAACGTTTTCCCTCAGCTCGGCGTCTGACAAATACTCCCCTCGTGAGTCGCGACAGCTGGATTACATTTCCCAGTTCACGTCAGACATCCGCCACATTTCTGGAGCAAACAACCCCGTAACCGAAGCACTATCTCGAATAGCTTCGGTAAATCATATCGACGGCGTTGATCTCGTTGAACTAGCTCGGCGTCAAAAGGAAGACCTTGAGCTGCATCATGAGTTGTCGTCCACAACTCTCAAACTGCGACTTTGTCTTGTTGGATCAGACAAGGATCCAATTTTGTGCGATGTCTCTGCTAGTCAACCACGCCCAATAGTTCCGAAGAGTTGTCGACGCAACGTTTTCAATACGTTGCACAAACCCTCTCATCCAGGTGTACGAGCCACCATTAGGCTTATCACACAACGTTTCTGCTTGCCTGGGATGAACAAAGACGTTAAGGAGTGGGCCCAGTCAAAAGTGAAAAGTTACGCGACACACGAAAAGCCCTTTAGGCTCATTTCTAGCCCCAGACATGCGTTTCGACCACGTCCATATAGATATTGTAGGACCCCTACCAGAATCTAATGGATGTACCTACCTTTTCACTTGTGTTGATCGTTTCACACGATGGCCGGAAGCAGTACCTATTAGGGATATTACTGCTGAAACAGTAGCTCGTGTTTTCGTCGAAAGATGGATCGCGAACTTCGGATGTCCATCCTACGTCACAACCGACCGTGGGCGCCAATTTGAATGTGGATTATTTCACGCTCTAACGTCACTTTTAGGCTGCACCCGGTTCCGAACGACAGCCTACCATCCACAAGCAAATGGCATGGTAGAGCGTTTCCATCGACAGCTGAAAGCTTCCCTTTCAGCTACAAACATACCTCAGTGGACCGAGGCTCTGCCTCTAGTCCTACTAGGTATTCGTAACGCGTTGAAAGTTGATGCTGGATGTACTCCTGCAGAACTCGTCTATGGAACCACTCTTCGCCTACCAGGTGAGTTTGTTTCTCCTTCAACCTTCAAACATGTTTCCGACAGGGCGTCGTACGTGACTAGGCTTACAAACGCAGTGCGTTCAGTTAGGCCTTCTCCGGTTAGACTTCAAACGACTGATGTTTTCGTTCACCCCAGTTTATAAAAGATATCACGCGTGTTTGTTCGCCACAACACTGTTCGTCGACCACTTGAACCACCCTACGACGGGCCATTCAGTGATCAAGCGACAAGGGAAATTCTACATAATTGAGCGAGACGGATGTGAAGATACTGTCAGTATCGACCGTTTGAAGCCAGGTTATTTTCAAGGCATCCCTATTATAAGTAAGTTTTCAGCTCGCTACAGCCAACCGTCATATAGCTGACTTATCGAAATTCTCGGCGATGTGTCTGGTAATGCGCAGTTTCAGCAAGCATCGGCGCAAGAGAAAACGCGACCAGGTCCAACCGTCGAGTTCCCGGAGCAATCGGCATATAACAATGGTCAAGCCACTGCGTCCGCTATGAACGTACTCAGACCTCTAAATGTAAGAATCGGTTTTATTAAAGCCATGGAGTTCGTTTAATGCATATGGTCTCACGATTGTATACAAGGGTATGAATACCGGCTCCTCTCCGTATAATTAACTCAAAGAATACTGTTTATTTCTGAAAGCCACTACGGTACACCCCCCTCCCAAAAAAACGACTTAATAACCCTATGATGGAAGGACTATGTAGTTGACTTAACATATATACATGAAAATGTACATCAAGTCCGAATAAACCAAAAAGAAGATAGGGACTTTTCTCTTCTCCAAATTTGATAGCAGTGTAATCTGTACTTCCATATCTGCTCATGCCTCTCCTTTCTTTCCCCATTTGCAGAAACAGCTGCAAGTCGACATTTGATGATCAAATTCAGTCTGAACGTGATTACTTTGTGGGAATAACACCTGCTCATTCACGCCAATAATTAATGGACTGCTCCCACTCTTTCGCAAATTCTGGACCATCTTCAAGATTAACTCACCTACTCGTCTTGATTTTTTCTTGCGACGAACCGTCTGACCATTCCCAACAGTATTAGTAGCTGAGGCATTCTGACCAGATGATTAAACCAGAGACCAATTAAAATATTGGCTCAGAATGTCACTTACCTGCAATGGATCCACACTAGACATTTTCTAGTACTCTGTACCAAGAGACTTTTTCATATGGAACTTACTACGTATCAAATACACTTCTCGAATGATGCCGCCCATGCTAGTGCGAAAGATGCTCGAGGTCTATGGACTGTTGACTGTTTCAACATCTATTTTCACCCAATACAACAAGTATTCTCAGCAGAATTAATCTATATCACCTTCAAAAGTAACATGGTGTCCTGGATATGCATTGATATAGCCATACACGTTGGTTATATAACTGTGGGTACTCTATTTATACTCCAGATTGTATAAATGGGTCCGTTGTGGTTAGCAAACTAAAAACTGAAGACCACTTCAAGTAATAAACTGTTATATTACTAATCAGCAAACTATGCGAACGGACTAACAACGTCGGTTGGTTACAACGCAAACTTTGAACACTACGCGCTTTTGACATTGATGATGGAACTTATCTGTGTGATATGAGACGACAATCCACATCCGTCTCATGAATTTCAGCAGATTTCAGTAAGATTATGCACACCAATGACTTGATATTTAAGTTAATTGATACTAGATACTTTCAAAAGTTATGAATTTGACAGTGCTTGTTAACTGGTATCCCTCATGTTAAGCCTGTTAAATGAAGGCGACATTCACTATTATCTAAACTTTAACACTCTATGTACGCTGTAAAGTAATATTTTCTCGTTCATTTCGTACCTAACAGGACTTTTGGCAGTTTTTTTAATTGAGTTTAATGACATTCCATCAGTACCGCTCAGGGCTCAAGTCTTGTAGATATTTTGAGATGTATCAACGTGATGAAGCCTGTAAACTGGCTTCTCTCATGTTTAAATCCTTTTTTTAACACGAGAATAAAACATTGATTTATTTATTTATCTGAAGCCGTATTCGACTTGAAAGTGTATAATAAAATATGCCAGTCATTTTTTGAATTCGCAATATTTTTCGGGGCGCTATTTTTCTTATTTACCGGCAATGCGCAAATCCTCATACATTTTGCCTTTTTGTATCAATTTTTATTGCCATGTAATTAAACTTTTAAAAAAACGGTGAAAATAAGCGTAAATTTTTATTTTTCGATATGTTTATACATAAATAATTCCCATTTTTACGAAACATTTTCATAGTATTAAAGACTTTTATTTATATTCAGGGTGCAACGAGCACTAGACGGAACGTCAAAAGGAACTGAGGACCGCGATCGACGTACAGTCCGATTCATTGTATTTTATTTGCCACGACACCCTAGAATAAGCTCAGACAACCAGGGGCCACTTCACGCAGTGAGCCCATCGGAAGAGTTTTACCAGTGGAGAAACCACTGGATTTTTACTGCCGGCTGGTAGCGTCTTAGGGTCATCACGAACCCACTAGGGGAGGGAGTGATCTGTAGCGTCACACACTTCCCCAGAATCAACAGCCTAGGGTTCGACGACATTCGACGTTGATGCTGACCTTGATAGTTTAACTGGACTTGCTGAGCTGAGGGCACCCGGTCAAGCATCCTCGCCATTTGGCACACCGCCGTGTTACGTTGCACTGCTCGTATTCGACTCTCTAGCCATTAGTTGGAATGCATCGGTATCTTGGTACAACCATCCCAATATACTATTCCATCCGACTACGCTATCGTGTTCTTACGTGGTCTCGTATTCCTGGGTACATAAAAAGTCCCAATAATTAGTGGTTGGTCTTTGGGTCTGTCAAGTTCGCACCCGGACAAATCCAAAAATGTGTACACCAGGTTGCAGACAGAGTTGGCTGCTCCATATCTAATTGGTTCACGATGCTGAGTGGTGTGTCCCAAGGTTCTATACTGGGCCCACTACCGTTTCTTGCTTTTATCAATGGCTTAACAGGAGTCCTTAGTTCACATTCACTATTATATGCCAATGATCTGATGATTTGGAGGAAAATACGGGAGACAACGGATATTTTGGTCTTCCAGGAGGACCTAACGACAATCCATAATTGGACTACAGAAAACCTACTTCCTCTCAACTCGAGGAAGTGTCGAATTATGATAGTTGACAGACATAAAGGCAGTCCCAGTTCTTGCTCTCTGGGTGAAATAAATATCTGTCACTCTAACATGGAACAAGATGTGGGAGTTACACTAAACGATACACCAGGAGCCCCAGTCCACTGTCGCCCTGCAACCAATAGGGCTTATGGAATCCTGGGGTTTCTCTCGCTAACCTTAAGGCGCCTCACTCCTCCTCTTTTCACCACAGTGCATGCCCTGTACATTTGCCCTCATCTAGAAAAAAATTCGCCCATAATGTCCCCATACTTGGAAAAGGACATAGCCGTCCTATGAAGGGTACAGAGAAGAGCTACAAAGAAAGTGATTGGGTTACGGCACAAACCGTACTCAGACCTCCTAGTTACTCTTCATCTGCACCCAGTACAACACCGAAGGATCAGAGGAGACGTGATTGTGATGTACCACATCGCTCATAATCCCCTCCATCCCAGCAGATCCCTTCTAAGTTTTAGACGGAAACTCTACCTGAGGGGTCAGCCGTTAAGAATAGAGCACGAGAGAGCACTACAAGGATCCGTGCTAACTCATTTACAGTTAGAGTCTGTAAACATTTGAATTCCCTCCCTTCAGTAGTAGTTACAGCTCCATCGCCTGATATTCTTAAAAGGAGGTTAGACGCACACCTCTAGTCCTACGGTACCGATGGGCTGTACGCGAGCTTTCCCTACACCAGATACAGTAATACTACCTTGAGACCAGATTAATTAGTAGTCGTATCTCTATCCCTTCAGGTTTTTCAGGACCAGGAAGATAAGTGTGACCATTGCAAACTCAGAACGTTTTCCAATAAGACAGACGTAGAACCCAAGGAACCGCCGTTCACCAATTCTACAACACGAAGTTTGAACGGGGCTAAAAGCAGGAAAACAGGAAAAATTTCACTGTCCACTGCAAGAGCAAACCGAAAAACAACAATTAAGTCCAAAGAACTAGACGCGATAAATCCGAAACTATCAATTCCCTATATTTGTACAATTGTTTTGAAACGCCAGAGATTGGCGGTTACCATGTTTGATGTGTTACGCCCTCGATTAAGTAAGATTGCTAGTTTTAAGTTAATTAGCTGGATTTAAGCCTCTCCTGTTTCACACCCTACAGTTGGACTCCAATGTTTTTTCCGTGCTTTTGCTTCCTCAGTGGGGGTCTTTAATTCCGGAGAATATATGCGCGAAGTAACTATAGTTCCTTTCTTTAAAATGCATAACAGGGAACTGAAGTTCCAGAACGCGATGAGCTGTACAAAAAGGTTCTTATCACTGTTAAGGGGCATGAACCGATGGTACTGAAGAGTTATGAGACGTTTGTCATCAAGGTGTGTGAAAACCTTTCGCTCAACTTCCAGGGGTAGTGTCCATTTTTTTACTGATATTGTTCTTAGTGATACCCGTAACCGCCCAAAGTTTTTACGCCTATCTATGAACAGGTCTCCATTCATATACAAGAAGCAACAGCGACAGTATGAGTTCCGCACGCACTACAAATATTTCACGGTACAAAATCCCTTATAACTAAACTGTTTCCTAGATTAAATATGTAACTGGGTGTACTGCGGATGTGTTTCTGGAGTATATCCAAAGAAATTTACCCGAGGGTGTCGCCATGGAAGTAGAAAAGGTAAGATCGAAAGGTTTTTGTAACTACTGATCTTGATTCATTCCCTTCAACCAAGTGGTTGTCGTAAACCAATCCGCTATATTTTTTCTGCAGTCTTACACTTTAAAAATTGTCACGAGTTTAAATAACTACTTATGAACAGTGAGTGGTCATTTTGCGGTGCTGTCCTAAAAACAAGTTGTTGCCTGTTTTCCATTTTGTTGATCTTTCATCGTTGTTATCAACTGATAGCAACTGTCGCTGTATTCGAGAAAATGAAGAATGTCTTTTGACAACCCACTTGTCACAGCAGTTAAGTGCAGGATCTAAACCCATCCTCATTCAACTAGGTACACCTCATGTCGTTTGTAATGGTGACTGGCAAGTTAACTGGCCGTTGTGATCCGTCTTGTGGATTTGGTGGTAAGGACGGGCATTTAGGACCTATCGATGGAGAATTTTCGTTAGACCTAGAATATGCAGATGACGTTGTCCTGTTGGGTGAAGACTCTGACAAGATGCAGAGTCTTCTGAACACTGAGTGGCAATTTGAGAATGTTCGGGATGTGGTTCTCACCACCCAAATGCAAATTGTTGCTCCAAGATTGGTCTTCAACGGTGCCACGGCTAATAATAGAGAGTGTAATGGTTGAATATGTTGACCACTTTACTTACCTGGGAAGTAGGATCAGCCCTGGTGGCCCAGTGACCGACGAAATCTCTGCACGGATACAAAAGCCTCGGCTGGTATTCGCCAACTCACGCCACCTGTGGCGCCGCCGTGATATCCGATTGTCTACTATGGGTCGCGTATACTGCACAGCAGTCCGCTCTGTTCTACTGTATGGCTGTGAAACATGGCCATTGAAGGTGGAAGATATGAGAAGGCTTCAGGTGTTTGACCACCGTTGCCTTCATAGTATAGGACATATTCCGTGGTGTCACTGCGTGAGTAATTCAGACGTCAGGTGTAAAGTTTTAGGGAGTAGAGGTAAATCAATTGATGAGGTCATGAACTTTCATCGACTGAGATGGTTGAGACATGTGTTACGTATACCTGGTCACCGATTGCCTCGTCACACAATGCTGGCCGAAGTAGGTCCAGGCTAGAAAAAGACCCGAGGTGGTCAGACTAAAACATGGCACCAATGTATGAAGTCTTTGACTGTTGGTTTGAGCCATGCGGGGCAATGCAGACTAGGTGGTTGGGGTCCACCGGACATGGTAATTCCACCAAATGCAAGCAATGCTACGAAGACACCTACGATCAAAACTCTGTATTCACCTCATATCTACTTTTAATGGCCAACCGTAAAACAGAACAGAAACTGCAGCGCAGTATACTCGTCCTGTGATAGTCGGATATTTCACCATTCGGTGCCTCAAGTGACCCAAGTTGGCGAATGCCAAACTACCATTCTATATCCGAGCTGAGATTTCGTCAGCAACCAACCCGTTCGCGCTGATGCAGCTCTCCAAGTACGTGGAGTGGTCGACGCATTCCACTTCTTCACTCCCTATCATTAAACTGGGAGTACTTGTACCAAACCAGTCGTTTAGTATAATCTTACATTTGACAGGTGCCAACGAAACGCATGCTGAACATACTCTGATTTCTACTCAACGCGTTCACAAGACCCTGCATTTTTTCAGTGTCTTCACACAGCAGGACAATATCGTCTCCCTACTCCAGGTCAAGCAGATTAACTTAGAGAGTAAATCAATCCTTGTGAAGTCACAGGTATGTATATATATATCCACTAGTACATCTATAACAAAGTTTAATAAGAAGGGTGACAGTGGACATCCCCTGCGGACACCACTAATTGTCGTTAGTTCACGTAACAACCCTCCATAAGCCCTTACACAGCTACGTAAGTTCAAGTAAAGAGCTTTGATTAAGGCTATATACTGGGTAAGTGCTCCCTTCACAGTGAGACACTGTCACAATATCTCATGATCGACTGAGTCAAATGCCATCTTCAGGTCAAGAAATATGGCAAGTGTTGGAAGATTAGAAGGTAAGTATGAGGGAGGTGAATAGTGGTCTGAGCGGACAGAGTTGCGAGGGCGGCTGACACTTCTCGACTGCCCATACCGCGGAAGGCTAGGTTTTCTTGAAATACCTAAAAATGAAGGGTTTTTGCATGACTGCAGAGCCCACGCAACATCTGCTAGAGGCCGGTTACGTACGGCCTTTCTGATCTTACGACAATCGTCCCGTGATATGAAAGATGTAGTCGGGCATATGTCCTGTGGTTTTGGATCACCACTAACCACTAATGACTGATCTAAGCTACCATAATGCATCATGTCTTTGTTTAAGAACATGTTAAGGGTAAGTGGTTTTTGTCTAACAATTATTCGAACGGCAAAGCTTGTTGGGCCGCCGTTATATAGGAACCCGACCACCACGTCAAAGTAGCAGCTATCGGTCGGGACAAACTTGTGGTTGTCACAGGAAGACGTCCTTCTCTTCCTGCAAACCAGCCTGATATCACTACCTCTGATTACCACACACTACCTAGTGAAGGAAAAGGTCAAAAAGTGAATTGCAGAAGGATAGTTTATTATGACAATCTGTACATCACTGTTGAAATATAATCACCTTTCCATTGAAATATCAGTTTGCACAATACGTTTAAGTTCATCATGTTCTTCTATCTCGTCTTGTTATTGACACACGGCCACGTCATCTCTTGCGCTTCTCTGGTCAGCATATTTATCCATCGCTAATGGTCGACTATGACGTCTTCCGACTTCTCAATATATGTTACTAATATTCACTCTTATCAGTAGCACCCACTACACTGGTACCGACATCACTTTAATTAGCCATTTCCCACCTCTATCCTTAAAAATTTCAGTTGGCAAACTGTGAGGTCCTGCTGCATTGCATCCTTTACGCGTTCGATACAGGCTCCTAAACTTTAAAAAGAGTTAGAGGACAGACGTCTACGTCGCGTTCGGGTTCGGGCTGGCCGGGTCGGACAACTAAAGCGTTGCCGTGGGCCATTTGAGCTGTTCTTCAGTGTTCTGCCCAATGTTCCAGCCACCTGTCCCGTGAGGTTATCAGCGTCCCATTCTTTCCGATGATGGTTTTACTCACCATCGTCCTCTTCTTACCTGTATCCGTAAGAAGCCTAAATAGTTGCCGGGTGTTACTCAAAGCCGATGCCATCTCCATCTCTCACTTTCATCACCGAAAACTTCTGGCGATCGACGCGAGGACTTGGTCAACTTACGTTTCATTTACTTTCACTCTTGGTCGTGTTAGAGTCAGCTGGACTCAGTCTTCTCACATTAATATGTTCGAGCGACGTCACGGAAATCCAGTGACGTTTACTTACTTTCCGGTGTAAGTTACTAACTGTTTTTAACTCTGTGTCTTCAGCAGACTTGGTGTTACACCAGATTTCCTCAGGATGAGCATTCCTGTCATGTTCAGTTAAATACTTAGCTAACTCCTCCCTAAGTACGTATTTGGTGTCCTCATTTTCCAACCGACCACAAGCCGGCTCTACTATCGCCTGTTTCCCTCATCAGTAAGTTTCAGGCACGAGCCGTTACTGGCGCATAGTCGGAGTCCAAACTGGTACTACAGAAACAGTGGCAGTTCTCTTGTTTTTTCTTTTATAAAACAAATTCAAATTGTTGGATGCTCCTCTACAATAGTCTATGGGTCTGCTTCTGTATAAACCTTTCTTCTGTTTTGCTTTTATACTCTTTCTGTTTCGCTTTTTCTGAACCACTTTTACATTTTCTAAGTGTTGAATAGTTTTGTACTGCAGATCTGTCAGTGCCCATGTTGTACCAACCGTTTGTGATGAAAATAGGTAAATAAACCTTTAATTGAAGTAATACTCGCTTGAAGGGGTCAACGAAACATTTCACCTGCCCGTTTGGTTGTAGGTGATATTGTGGCACGTACGGCTGAACGATAGTGTTACGACTCCGAAAATCATAAGACTGTTGGGACTTAAATTGTGATCTACTATTGGGGACTATAGTTTATGAAAAACCGTTGCTGGAAAGTTTCGTAAAATACATTCACCAAGCATTAGACAGTCTTGTACTACTGTAGTAGATGTTACTAATAAAAATGAAGAGTAGTATATATTGAGAAGTCGGAAGAAGTCATAGGCGACCATTAGCGATGGATAAATATGCTAACCAGAGAAGCGCAAGAGATGACGTGGCAGTATCAATAGCAGACAGGATAGAAGAACATGATGAACTTAAACATATTGTGCGAATTGACATTTCAATGGAATGCAATGTACAGATTATCATAGTAAAAAATGCTTCTGCGGTTCACCCTTTACTTTCACTGCTTAAGAGAATCACTTCAAGCAAATCGGAGCTTTAACTGGGTATACGATAAGTGAATAGAAACATCTTGCATAAAGAGAAAAGCAACACAACTTCATATATTGCGCTGGACAGCAGAAACAGTTAAAAGAGATGGGTGATTAATTTTGTTTAGTGGGGCTGTAGGATGTGACTCATCAACTCAGATATTCGATTTCCAGTCGGTGGACTTCGGATTCAAACACTACTTTGACTGAAGTCACCAGATATCACAAACCACTACATAAGTGTGACCTATAACGTGTGCCAGGTGGCTGAGTTCCATTATTATTATTATTATTATTATTATTATTATTATTATTATTATTATTATTATTATTAGTATTAGTATTAGGTGCAACAGAAGCTTATGCATGACTAGTTGTTGATAAAAATAGGAATAATTGGAGTCTTCACAAATAAAAGGTATCATTGTAAGTTTTGCTAAAAGGATTCTACTGACAACCGTGGTTTTATATTATGGGGATGTTAACGGCTGGTGGATTAAAATAAGTTAGTTTTGAAGTCATAAGGTCCAAATTTCTGTTAAACAGAATTCAAATTCTACTACTTTTGCCGCAAATTTCTATGCATTCATTTATTTTATTCAGATAACTGGAGAGAATATAAAAAAGACGAAATATGAGGCCGACTAATAGCTGCTACCTTGACGGTTTGACTGGGATATTACAGTGACCCTACGAAATAGGAATTTAGAAACATTTTTTCTTCAGAGTCTTTACCATACCAAAAAGGTCTGTTAGATAGTAGTAAGATAAAAGTAGTTCCTGTTGCGTTGTAAATAGCCATACTACGATATAAGTCCGAGAGCGAGGCCGTACCACAGGCTGCACGGAGGTATGATGACAGTGTGTTTCCCTCGAACGACCAGAGGTACCGTGCTGATGCTACCTCCCCTGTGAGTAGGAAGATTAGAGAAGGTCGGCTCTATAAATAGCTCATATCCCGTGCTCGGTGTCCTTCTGATACTGGCGGTTTGGTTTTTTACCTGAATACAAGACAAACTTATTATTCAAACTTGCCAAAAGACTTTGCGACCGGCCTCAAACAAACTTCCCTTGGTCTCTGCGTTCACGGATCATAACTTGAGCTTGCGAACTATCAATAATAGTTTCCTGAAATCACATCGATCAGTCAGTCAGTATCAACATGACACTAAGCATTACTGCTTAACAGTTAAAATTGCCATACCTCATACCAGGTAAAGGAGGGAGAAATCAGGAAAGAAAGTAGTCAAAAGTGACCGAAAGTTCTATGTTGATATTGACTGACTAAAATACAAATTATGCTATGGAGTTGATTCACCGAAAATTTCTTTATCGTAATACAATTTTATGTTTTAGCGAAATTGAAACAAAAGATTTTGCGGAATACAATGAATTCATTCATTGTATTTTGTCGCCTTCTTTTCAGCTACCTACAGGCTATAAATTCGTAAGATAAATATAGAAACAAATACAGTCCACATAATTCATGATGAACAAATTGATACTGATTAAAGAAGTTTAAATGAAATAATTGACGATTAATGATATTAAAGTTATTTTATGTTTATATAGTCAAATTGTCATCTTGCTGCATATGAGCAATCAAAAAAATGGAGTAGACAGTATTATGTAAGTGTATGTGATTAAGTAATGTGAATACAAGATCAAATGTTTTCGCATGGGTTGAGGATCAAGTAGTAAGCTTTCAGAGATGAAATGGGAATTGACTGTGAAAGGGGGAGTGAAAATACAGGATTTTGGAAAGGATTATGCTAAATGAAAAAGCAAATCAGTGGCTACCCTAGAAGTTGGAGGCTAACAACTGCCTCTTTTTCGATGCATAAGTTGCACTTACTTCTGAAAATCTTAGTAAATTAGCATTGTTTTGTTTTTAATTATGTTAAATGAATTCGAGACCTGCACATAGTGTCCTGCCTTGATCAAATGTTTGACTCTTTTAACCCTTAGCTTATTTGGATTGTGTTCACGGAATTTAATCTCAGCCCTTTTCGTGACTAAATAGAGTGAATTCATCGTATTTTGCAAAATTTACTGTTCTACCTTTGCTAAAAATTTTAGAGGCAATCAATTTTGTGTTTGTTCACTTGTTTTACCGAATTTTCATGACAAAATTTAGCAACTCATTTCGGTTTCTTGCACTAAGTTATAACTGATATTGCATGATTATGGTTCTACCAAGTGATCCAAATCGAAGTAGAGGGAAGAGGTTTTCAACCTATGACTTACCACTCTGTATATCTAAACCAGGAAGTAACACTAACATAGATTATTGGGATATATATGGATACACACATTTCTAAAACTCCCGTCCTACATTAGTTAAAGAATGAGACCTTTCTCTCATTCAGTCGTAATGATGTATTCATAGCTAAAAATGATCTTCAACTTTTAGGTTTTTGTTGGTATTTGTGAAATAAAAAAAGTTTTTTAAAACCTCTGGAAGATTTGGTTCAAAACTTACTCCATTATCACAGGTGCATTTACTCTTTTTAATTATAAACAATAAACTTCTAACTCTCTGTTGTATCAGTTCACAACTCAACCCATCAAGTTTTTAATTTTTCATAGTCCTCTCATAATAATGGTATAATTCCTGTTATCTTACTTCTATTACTTTCCCCCTCCTATTTAAACGTGAATTAATATGACTGAAAAACTGGGTACAAGTCTTTGACTGAATGAACTGTGAGCTCATTTAAAAATAGGATATTATCCACTTACTAATACCATAATAAAAGTAGTGAGTTTGAACCTATAACCTAAAGACTGATACTTCAATACCTAAACCAATCAATCACATACCTATCAGTGAATTCATTATTGCTGTAGATGATCCATTTTAATGTGTTTGGAGCCTTCCCAATGTTGTGGACAAAAGTTATCAGCAAAAGTGAACACATTATAAACATCAAATCCATAGTTGTTGCGAATGTTCTGGAAGAATTTGAGCACCATCAGAAGTTGGTCATCATACATTGTTATATGTACTATTTGATCCTATATTTTATTAAAAACCCTAATATTTTACTGAAGAAGCTGTATTATACACAGTGGGACATTTAGAAACATCTTGTTTCGGTTTTCTAAACACGCTGGGGTTATGTAAAAACGTACTAATGGTAAAACGTATGCACAGTCGCCACATGACTTACAGTCGTTTAGTGCAGCATATACATGGGTACACAATGATATAACATGTAGAACATCATTTTATTTGTTCATCCACTTAATTTTCAGTCATAGTTATTCTGTTGATTGCTATGAAATGATATTTTGTATTTATTTGACACTTTTAGCATCGCTTGGAACGCCTTCCGGAGCATTTGAAAACTTAAACAAGTTTGTAGGACTATTTCTGATATTATGCGTTTGTAAATATATTTCTCACTTAAATTAAAATATACTCATTTCGAACAAATCCTTATTCTTTGTGGGAATATTATGAAACTTTATATTCACAGTTATAAACTACCGTGTGATATAAAGGTCTGTTCTTGATCGGTTCAACGTTTTGATCTTATAATCCAACTGCTCATCTTGATAAAACCTCAAGATGAGATAGTTGATTATTATTATTATTATTATTATTATTATTATTATATTATAAGTCCCTTGGGTTCCTAGTGGAACATAGGGCTTCAGTAGCACGTCTCCAGTGACCTCTGTTCTCTGAGATCTTTTGAACCTGGTTCCACGACAGCCCAGAAGCTCTCATTTCTTCCTCGCACGACCTCCTCCATGTCACCCTCGGACGTCCAACTCGTCGCTTCCCATGGGATTCCACTCGAGGGCCTGACGCGTGATGTCCTCAGTCGGCCTTCTCAGTGCATGCCCAATCCATCTCCACTTCCTCCTGCATATTTGTTGCGTGATAGGTTCTTGGTTGGTTCGTTTCCAGAGCTCCTTGTTGCTTATTCTTTCTGGCTATCTGATCTTCAGTAGCGAGCGTAAGCATTGTTGATGAATGTCTAGTTTATTGGAAATCCCTTTCGTGACGTGCCAAGTCTCTGAACCATACAGAAGCACTGACTTGACTGGGTTGGTGTTGAAGATCCGTATCTTGTTCCGAATGCTGAGTGCAGAAGATCTGCACACTGGTTTCAGGCGTTCATTAGCCTGAAACCAGTGTGGTGGTGGTGTGTGGTGATTGATAGTTGCTTATAGTTTTTTAATACAGTAGTACTGATATAACTAATTATAGTAACTAGGTGGTACCAGTGATTGAAATCTCAAATCTTTTGAGATGCTACAGCTTAGTTGTATCTTAGATTTTATGTTAATAATTTCTAGATGTTAGGAGTTCCTTAATGTCTCTACTTAACTTAGATTTCCTGATCGTTCGCAGTTAGATGCATCTGCAAACATGAGATGGATGGTCTCTGGGTGATTCAAACTTGTCACTCAGGGTTATTCAATTCACAGAATATATACATGCCTACCTGTGCAAAGAAGAGATGGAAGCTTCAGTTATTCGTTGTGGTTTACCACGATACTCCATATGGATTAAGTAGTATTAAGTTATTTCGCCAAAACAAGACACCACTCTATGCAGTTGCTGGCTGTTGAAACGCGGACCTCACATCTCCTGGCGAGGATTGGACAGTCGAGTGGTGTCATCAACCCTAACACAACAATTGTTGTCGGTTTCCTAGCATACATAATTGAATATGATTGCTCACTCATATACATTTTTAGACTTAGCATGAAATGTATTGGGATATGTGCAAGATCTTTGGAGTTTGGCGGATGAAGTATTTGCACATTATCACGGATTGCGTATATAAGATTTTGCATTTGTCAGCGTTTTCACCTAAACGTCGACCAGACAATCTTTTGGTGGAAAAAGGTTGGTGTATGTGTAAGATCCTATCTGTAAACAACTTGGGTGAAACTGGAGATTATGAGTATGCTAAATGAACATGGTTCTTCCTATCTTCACTCATAAGCTGTTTTAGGACTACGGGTGCTGGAGTAAAAGTATCTATCAATGAAATATGCCAATCGAGTACTCATTCTAATCAGATCAATGGTTAGAAAATTTCCTTATCTCCAATAGGAATTTATATCCAACACACAATTTGTTTTGAAAGAAGCATTAAAACACTTGCTAGTTAGTATTTCATTTTTTTTTCGATAGCGATTTCACAAGTGTAATAAATAACTAAAATTGAGTTTTTGTGTCAAACCTTTCACATAATGAGAGAAGATCATAGGATATTAAAAAACTCTAGTAATATTTGATTGGCAGAAACCAGTTCACATGCACTAGTTAAAGATTAATTCGCAACGAAATTTGGAATTTCTGGCACATGAATAGCAGGTAACTTCATCATTCCATCCATCAAAAAGAAACTACCATAATCTCTGCCTAAATTTTTGGATGGCAAGAGTTCAAACCCCATCAATATCTTTGTTTAGCTATGCCTCATTGGTTTGGGGTATCTAATTTCCTACCAGTGAGTTCCCAGTTGTCTGCTTGCCAGGGTTTGCGCAGTCATTATTAGTAGCTGTCACACAATAAATGACGTTTACGATAGTGAACTTGGTTTTAGGGTGAAAAGATCAGATTTCTGCTTCAGTTTTCAAGTATATCATTACAGTGAGTACCAGCAAACACGAAACTTGGTCCCGAGAATTCTTGTGTGCTGCTAATTAACTAGCACAGCGTATAGTGCATCATGATATTGTGTCTGTCAGTGGTAGTACGTCAATGTATTTCTTGATTGCGAGAATTCGTACTAATAGTCAAGTCATTAAGTGAATGTACTACTTGACAATCAGTTAATCTAGTGTTAATTTTTGAAAGTTTGTTGGAAACTACGAAGCTTTAAAATTCATTGCATATTTGATTAATTTACTTAACATGGCAGTGATACGGTATCAAGTGCTGAAAAGTGTCCTGAGTACAACCTAGTGCTCATAATTATATCGAAGACTGTGATGTAATGCTGATGTATCGCTGTGTGTTATATCAAGTAAACTAATACAGCATAGAATTGTAGTCCACTACGGTGGCCAAGTTTTACTCGTTCATCAAACTTAACATCTACATTCCGAGTAAAACAAAGTTTATTTTGAAGCATATGTTAGATCGGTAATTACTAAGTAGTCTTAGCTGTACTCTCCATGGATATAGTTAGAATGAATTAAATTTACGACACTGATGCAAATGGGCAGTTGGGTATAGCCTTATCTGTTGGGCTGTAGATCACATCTGGCTGTCCAAGTGTTTGTGGCCAGCTGGTTCAAACTGTAATACTGAAAAAGGCGAACCGCAGACTTGTTTATTGAAATAATTGTTTGGGTCTTTATCAAGGTAAAGTAATTAAGCGGATACTTATATAGTAAGCAGTTCTGTTATTTAAGAGGGTTTGTTAATTCAAAAGTGAATTGTTGGGGAAAATTCTTCATTTGCATTGAAGTACCGAAGAGGAAGGAATACACTGGTGTATCTCTAGACTTTTGCTGTTTAAACGGTTTCCATACCGTTGGTTATTCCCTAGCTCTAGGAGTAGCTGAAAGGATTGAAGGGGTGGGTCGTATTACAATTTCCTTGCTTCGGTAATCCAATTCTCCTTAATATATATTTATGATCTCTTCTTGAATTTCAGTTATTCTACTATTATCCATCTCTGTCTATTCATTCATCGATATTCTTACAATACCCTGCTGTGGCGCATGTTTTGCCTACTTTTTGTCGGCAATAAACAGTTGCGGAACTTTGCTAAACTGTGTCTCATCTACAACCGCGCGATTCTAGGTGCAAGAAATAAAGACAAATTGCCTGGTTCTGCCACTTCTATGCGCATTTATCAATTCAACTGCTCCTGTGGAGCTAGTTACATTGGGCGTACAATGAGGCAGTTCCATCGATGAATTTGTGAGCATTACCCATCATGGTTGAGCAAGGGACAGCTTAGAACAATAAAGAGCTCCATACTTGCAAACCTAGTTGATACGGGACATCAAGTGGATACTAGAAAAATTTTCAAAATTACTCATCAGATTCAAATTAATTTATCACATGGATTACTCACTCAGTCACTTCACATAGCAGATGAGATTCCAATCCACGTTTATCAACCTAGCCTTTGTATTCAAAAGAAGTTCGTTCGACCACTTTCAGTACTGTGGCCGTCAACATGATGTAACTTCTAGTATTACTTTGGACACCTCTTCTTGTTTCTATCAATACTCATTTGTTTTCTTACTATTGCTTAATCGCTTATTGTTAATAACTGAACACATCAAAGATCATTCCATTTACCTAAAAATAATCTGCTTCATATTTCCGACTTTAGTAACTCTTGATTATTTACATCATTATTCTAAAACATCACCACGTGATTGGTAATTTGATTAAATTGTAAAACCATATATTAGTGGAGAGCCCAAGATAAGGACCTAGTTGAAAACGAATATATTTCTCCGCTCAATTAGTCTTTTTCAAAATATCTAAATGGGAATATCCAATGTATTAAGAGGGATAGTTTGTAGTCACTGAAAAGTTACCATAGAAGATATTAATAAAACAGACGTAAATAAATATTGTATTGGAAAATATTAAGGACATATTGGAACGATTAAAATTTCTACCGTACATGTATTGGTTTAAATCTATTGACTGCCTACTAATCTTCGTATCGCTGCAGATTAACTTATACAAAGGTCAGATTATAACTAGTTTACTTTATCCGTGCTTTTGCATAAGTTACTGTCTTGTCTCATGTAGTATTTTCCCTTCTGGTTCTTGAAACGTGGCACTAGTCTATGAAGTCCTTAACTGTTGGTGTGAGAGATATAGACTGTCTGGCCGTGTTCCCTGAGACGATAGGGATTAGTGATTAAGGACTCATGGTGATATGGTTGAAAATCGGTCACACTGGCGCAGATGTATTCACTCTTTGAGGTATTCACAGCTTGAATATTTGCACTAACCTTTGTCTTAAAATTGTTTATTCTCTCACACAACTTTGTCTACTTTGATATCGCTCTTTTTCGATCCGCCTGTTTTTTTGTATGTTTCAGTGAAGTATGGCAGATTGAGGCGCTACACTTATCTGCGAGGTTCTACGTTGATTTTATCTATCTTCTGGTTCTGTAATACAGATATTAGTGGGTAATGTGCTGGTAACTTGGTATTTAATTTCATTCAGTCGAACTATGCGGTAGTCACCAGTGTATCATAACAAGTCATGTTGTAGACTAAGTGAAATACGTATTCAAACAAATGGACATCAAAACTGTTGGGACTGTCGAAACTGTGTAACGGTCCAAGTTGCTGTACTTCACAATAATACACTAAAGTCAGGGCTGACAATGAGGAAATAAAATTGACAATATCGACAGTCGTGAACCATCATAAGGTGGGAAGATGCAGTCGATCGGAATAGTGACATGACAATACAATATGTGAATATAAGGGATGGATAGATATATGCTATCTTAATAAATTTTGAACTGTATTTCCTGGAATCTCTGATCATTGGCTTCACTTGTCCCGTGGATTCTGACCAAGAAGCCTGCATGGCTATGATGAACGATGACAGAATGCAGGATCACTGCTACTCTTAGCATCCAATACTTAGTGGTCACTCAACTTCTGTTCGATTGCTTTGGGAAGTTTCAAAATTCATGAGAATCCTCATTTGTATACATGGAAACTGAAATGTGCGTCCATACTCCAGTATGTTCTACCAATTAACATCTTCATACTTGGTGCCAAAAAGTCATAAGTCACTGGTAAGTGGGATTTTAGCTACCTGATTTCTACAAGAGTTGGGCGAAAGTAAGTTTATATTGACCATGTAATTTTAGCTAGACTGCATGAAACTGTAACATTCCATTATATTTTTTAGTGTTTTTTGTTATTATGGTTCCTATGCGCACAGATTCATTATTTATTTTTCCTTTGGGTTCCTTTTGGAACATAGGGCTTTAGTTGCACGTCACCACTTCACTCTCTTCTCTGCAGTCTTTTTAACCTGGTTCCACCACTGCCCAAAAGCTTTCATTTCTTCCTCATACGATCTCCTACATGTCACCCTCGGACGCCCAACTCATCGTTCCCCATTTGGGTTCTGCTTGGGGGCCTGGCAAGTGATGTCCCCAAATGGTCTGTTCAGTGCATGCCCAATCCATCCCACTTTCTTCTGCATAGTTGTTGGGTGATATGCATACAGAGACTCAGCAAAAATAACTAATTAGTTCTATTGTTCTTTACTGTCAATACTTCCCCCTAAACTAGAAGCTGCTTTTGGAGAGGTTGCCTAATGGAACATAGGAATATCATCTTAATGACAAACTTCAAGGATATTATTTAAACAATCTGTGAAAAATATTCACTTGGATTTTCATGTGAACAAGATGAAATCCTGTGGATGCTTTTGAATATGTTAGTTGATAAGAAAAAATTTGTTACAAGAATTCGTTGATCCAATCTACCTTGTTTCATAAAAAGACCAAGAGGAAAACTCGAAATGATCGACAGAATTCGGTCAATCTGTTGGAGTAGATAGCATGACATCCACTCCTCTCCAGTGATCAGTCACTGTTTAACATCTAGTCTTGTAGGGTCTGGTTGCAGACTGATAAGCTTAGTGGTAACATCACTGATTTCAGCAGTGGGTGATAGAAGTTTAGATATCAGAGGTGACATGAGTTTCTTCGAGATTGGAGATACGCCTTGGCAAGTGTCAACAAGCAAAAGATCTTAGTTGAGTAGAGCTTTCTGTCGATTACTTTCAATAACCTAACATCAAACTGAAAAAAATTAGGCGTCTTAGATAAGACACTTTAGACTAGGTTCACAGGATATGGAATGGCTTGAAGAAGATAATATGTAAAAGACTTCTTAGATATGTCCTGCATCTTTTACTATCTAAAGTATCCTAGCCATTGATTGTAAAGTAACCTGGGTGGGAAAACATCAATCACTGAGAGGCAAGGGATCCAGCTGACGAGTCCTAAGTAAGACGAGACATGAACCTTGGATTCTAGTCGAGTGGAGCTGTGGCTAAGGGAGTTAAATCTCAACAGTGGATCGCTGGTCTCGAACACCGCCCCATCTGCCGGGGTTTAGCAGTCAGGTAGTATCACTAACCGTCGTACAAATGGTTCGTTGCCTAATGCATGAATGTGCCACAAGGTTGCTGAATGAGTTTCGATTTGATTCGACTTCTAGTCGCCATCCATCGCAAAATAACCCGTCCAACTACTGCGAGTAGTCAGTAATCGAAACACTGACGTTTTTTTCACCGTAAGTTTAAGGTTACGAATGAGTCTTAGCTTATTGAACTCTTAGTTTTCTGGATCCTACTATCCCAGTTAGTGTGAGTTATAAGCAAATAAAGGCGTCTAGACTTATCTAATATGATTATCGTGGTGACAATTGAATGGAAGTACTTCTTGAATTATATGGTTAGTGTTTTTTTTCCGCGTTGTTCACAAAGTACATCAATTAACTATCATTGCTACAAAGTGCCATGAATGACCTAGGGTTCTCAATATTACGAAGCATGCCCTAAAAGCAACTAATATCAGTGATCTGACAAATGTGAAAATGCTAACAGTTCCCATTAACTCTTTGATAAGTTGACTTAATATACTGGACAATTGAATCCATTCAGGATGTGTATGTTTTGTGTTTCCTAACATTTGTTGCGAGGTATATCTACAATCCAGAGTGAGTTGATGCCACGACAGTTATCCAAACACGTCACCTCGTACTGAAGTTAGAGATTGTACTACTGGTCTATTTTAAACCGTGATTAACTTCCTAAACTATTTGATTAAATACATCGATTAGTTGTTGCAGGGTTACCAATTTCATGCTGTTTATCTTCTATCGATCATTTTGAAATATGATCACCAAGCTAAGGGATTGTTTATCGTAGTGCATTTTATTTAATGTCAGGTGGTTGCAGACAGGATATTTTGTACTGTTTTGTGTTTGTTGGTGTCTCGGGTAAAACAAATGAAATTGAATACTACTACATAGTTGCCAATTTCTATTTACCTCAAATGCTAAATTACAGTTAGTTTTTTTCCTGAGGTTAGCGTTAGCAATACTACGCACACACGATTTCTGAAGTGTAGATTTGAGATGACAAATTTTACAGTTACAATCGAGCAGGTATGTATTTCATATTGCTTCTAGTATATTCAGTTTTCACAGATAGACTTCTACCAAAAAAATGTTTTGTTTTTCATGGGATTCATTATTTCGTTATATTATAAGCGATATGGTGCCACAATAAATTTATTACGGAGAATGTTCGCATGTATTTGTTTAACGTGTTTTTAATGTACGGGAATGATAAGTGGAACTGAAAGTAAACGTAGGTCAAGGCAAAGTTAGGACCAAGTGATCTTTGGGTTAACCGCTGAAAATACTATTTACTGAACTACAGAGCCCCAATGTTGGTTATGTCCCAGTCTTATTTCAATCATCGACAGGTTTCGTAACTTCCAATTAGATGATTCATACGCCGCTGTCTGTTGATTATCGTTACACTAAGATGCTCAACCAGATCTCATTCTTATCTATGCTAAACTGGGTTAAAAATCGACAGCCTTATTCAGTCCACTGGTTTTGGTATACGTAGATGATAGTTGCAGCTGAAAGAAATCTGAGTCGCGGTTCTTTTAAATCAAGACTGATTTGTTAACCAGGATAGTTTAGACAATAAACCGTGTTTTTTCTTATCAAAAGCTATGATACTTTACTCTTAATTTGAGCGGGTCGATAAAAAAATTTCACTTATTTGTATCAACTTCAGCCGTTTTAAGGTCAAGAGGTTTTCCAACAGCATTTCAACGCTATTAGATATTAAGAGTTAGTTGACAAGAATATTCAAACTCTTTTTGTTGTTCAAATATTTGCTGTTGAACTAAAGCATTTTCCTCTACTGACCATCAGCCATCACATTTTGGATCAACATTGAGATTTACTTAAGCCGATACCTAACGTGCATATAAATGTTACAACTTGGGGCTTACTAGCAGTGGATTGAAAGTCATCCGTTCCTGCTGAGATTCAAAATGGGTAGTCATTGCCTAAAATGTCACACTTCTCATTAGCGTTAACAGATTTCTGCATCGTTGCAGGTACATCAGTAATTTTAATGATGAATACCAACCTGAAGTCAACAAATCAATACCCACAAACTCCGAAATTCGATTGTTCTAGCGCTCATTGGTGACTTGTTTGGAGAATACTCATCTGATCATTCTATATATAGAAAAACATACTGTTAGTTAGGCATATTTCTTTACTCAACTCATGAGTTTCCAATTACGTCATTTCGAAATTATCTTCAATTTAAATTGACAATTTTTCATAGAACTGAATCAAGTATGCTAACATCTGTATAAATTGATGTTAGAGTTTTTTCATGTTTTAGGGAGCAGAAGAAAAACCGCGAAATAAAATAGATCCATACTGTTCTGTTAAAGCAGCTGTTCTTGTACTATTTAAATGTGTGAAAGGAAAGAAGTGTATTCAATTTTCTTAATATGCACAAACATTGTGGCAAGTATCTTAATTGCGACTAAGAATTTGATCATCAGATTTGTATGATGTAGTCACCAGAGAGTAACTGATGTACCTATCTAGTGCACAGTGCCCAGCACTGTCTGAATTCTATTCACGTATATCCATTTGTCTAAGTGATACCACACTATGGTTTAGTGTTGGTTCTAATCATCGATAGAACACCATTTCCCTCATGGTTATCGATACGCCTGGCTGACAAGTGACAGCAAGCGAAAAACCTAGGTCAAGCAGGGCTGGTCGCCGATTGACCCTTACCTAACATTTCATACCAAAATAGATAGACAGAAGAAGTCGAGCGATTCGGCCATGTATAGAGACAGGACATTACAAGTATCAAACTACAAACAGTGATATCCGTTGCGCAGAAGTAGGCTATCATGCCCCAGTGGTCTAGTGGCATGAAGCAAAGGGTACTGGGTTTGAGTTTCACTTGGAACATCACTCACTGGGGTGCAGATACATCCAGCTAACGAGTACCGAATAGGATGAAATGCGCGTCCTGGATTCCACTGCTAGCTGCTAAGATGAATATAACATCATGAATATCCGGCACCATCGAGCCGCCTACATAGGAACTCATCCACTAACAGAGGTCCGGCAATGCGGCTCTGCATAGCAACGGGAAGTGACAAGAATCAAAACAACAAAGACAGAAGAATATATTACAAGTGGGGGGGAATAACTTGTTGATTTTCATAAAAATTTGAATAGTCATTGTGATTCAACAAAAAGGGGTTTTCCTGTTTCCTAGACTCTTCCGGAGTGTTCAGGATGAAAGCATGAACTATCGTATAAATCATTAAATCAATTCACGACGTTCTGTGAGTATCATTGGATTTTCTTGATGAGGATCTCTTCTTTTTCTTGACTTTCCTACATATTACTCGCTACCGGATTCCATTTAGAAACTACGTCGTTTCCTGGGCCCAGACAACTTTTCTCGTCGTTTCATTCTGAACTGTCCCACTGTTCTGGAGGTAATAACGTTCCCACTATGTCAATCTATCCACAGAAATAATTTAATCGTTCAAAAACGCTAAGCAGTTACTAAGTGAAAAGACAATTCTCCTCGGAAAGACGTATACAATTCACTATCACTAATGGCAGATGTCTGCAATACCACTGTTAGAGCACTTTTACAACAAAAGGTATACGAAGAATGCTAGATGCCAGCATTCTTTTCAAAACGCCTGACTGATAGAATCAACGTTGAGCCTCGCACACATGTGCATCGGCCTAAGTTGTCACACCACAGTAGTACACAAAGGAAAGGTGGGAAAAAGAGTGGTATCAAAGAAGATAAAGATTAGTGCGCTTGAAGCCAACTCATTGTCGTTACAGCACATTTGGTAGAGTCGTTAGATGTATACCTAACTATTAAACATTTAGGTTCATGTTAAGATGTATAAGTACGACTATTAGCGTAACACTAAAATGAGACGGAATCATACTTTGACTAAGAATAAGCAGTAAACAGTAGAATGTCCTAGAAATCCTTACATTTCTTTGAAACAATGTAGAACAAGGACCTAAGATAGCCACAAAAAACAACCGTAGATGTTAACACAGCTTCACTTTAGTGTAAGTGTAAAGTTTTGGCACTGTGGTAGAATTTATAACCATATTACATTTGCTTATTTGATTTGTAACATATATCTTGCATAACCTCGCCTAGTTAACTAGTTCAACAGTTACTAGCCGGCCCTAAGCCCAAATAAAGAGGGAAGGTTGGGCATAGGGCTAGGAACCCTACCCCGTAAAACCAATCCGACCGCTAAACAAACTTCAAAGCACAAAGAAAATAGTAGGTGAAAGCCTTCAGGAAGCATATCGGCCGATGTCTTCTCTCGATGAATGCGAAAGTAAACGTGGGGACATGGAATGTCCGAATAATGTCTGAACGTAACAAGACTGCCCAATTGTAAGAGTTGATGAGATACGGCATAGAAATGCTAGGCTGGGAATCTGTGAGAGCAGATGGAGAGGAAGTGATCTCTCCAAACTGTCAATTGGACAAGTCTCCAGTTGGTGACATGAATGCCAAACTGGGAGCGGACAAAACAGGGAGAGAACTTATCATGGGTCAAGAAGGGCTCGGTGAAATGAACGAGAATGGAGAACTGTTTGCAGAATTCTGCGCATTCAACGACTTGGTGATTGGAGGCAGTGTGTACAAACATAAGGATATTCACAAGGCGACATAGATTTCACCAGATGAACATATTACACTAAAAATCAGGTCGACTTCATCCCAACCTGAATAAAATGGAGACGCAGGCTACTGGATACAAGATCAGATCAAGAAAGGGGGCAGATGTAAGTTCACACCACTAACTATCTAGTGCAAGGAACCTACAAAATCACGTTCAAAGCTTTCACAAAAGTTGGTGATAGGCCACAGTTCAAGTTCAACACCAAGAACAAAGACTGAACTGAAGGACAAAACTACAAAGGACATCTTCACATCAGTCAGTCATCAGGAAAAAATAGGAGGCATAAAGCAGCATCTCCGAGGAAACCTGCGTGGAAGAACACTGGAACTCTGTGAAAGAGATGTGGAAAGAAACCTACATAACCGTATTAAAAAGAGGGAAGAAAGAAGACAAGGAATGGATCTCGACGGACACATGGAAGCTGACAGAGGAGAGGAAGATGGTGAAGCAGAAGATGAACCAGTGCAAGGATGAATAACGAGAAGAGGAACTGAGTACAGTGTATAAAACACTAGACAAAGAAGTGAAGAAGAGTGAGCGCAAAGACAAAAGACTTCCACAACACATTGGCAAGTGAAGCAGAACAGGTTGCAGGTAGGAGAGACAGAGACTTGACAACATTATATCAAATAACCAGGTTACTATCTGGGTGAGAAGAGATCAACACAGATGAAACCAATAAAAGATGATGAAGGAAACCTAGTTAACAAAGAGTAGAAACAAAGGCAACGATGGGCTGATCACTTCAAAAGACTCTTGAATCGACCACCACCACAACCACCTGCAACTCGTCCAGAAATACCACAAGCAGCCCACACAGAACTACCAGTGAACACAAGCCCTCCGACAAAATCAGAAGTGGAGTCCTGAACGCCATAAAGTTGCTGAAATCCAGGAAAGCAGTAGGACCAGATGGAATTCCACCAGAAGCACTGAAAACAGACGCAGAGACAACAGAGGACATGCCCACACCACTACTGCAGAAGGTTTGGAAAGGAGGAAGGATGGGCACCTGTCGATTGACTGGAAGGAGGGCTACCTTGTCAAACTCTTTGCAAGAACTTGCGAGAAATCATGCTGCTGTTCACACCAAGCTAAATTTTAAGCCGCATCATTCTGGAGAGACTAAAGGATGCGCTCGATTCAAAATTACGACCGGAACAGGCTGGCTGGTTGGATTCAGGAAGAAGAAATCATGTGTGGATTAAATTGCAACGCTATGCATCATCGTAGAACAGAGCATAGAATGGCATTCAACTCAACTCTACCTCAACTTCATCCACTTTGAAAAGGCTTCCGACAGCGTCGACCGAGAAGCAATTTGGAAACTGCTTCAACACTACGGTATAGCACAAATCTTTATCGACCTCATTCAGCAGATATATTACGACGCAACATGCCAAGTGATTAAAAATGGAAAGCTCAGTGACGCCTTTGAAGTGTAGGCAGGAGTAAGACAAGGCTGCCACCTACTATCACCCATGATGTTCCTGATTGTGGTGGACTGGATTATGCAAAAGACTGTGAAGAAGGAGAAGGGGCTGACCTTTTCTCACTCCTCCTCTTCTTATAGGATAGGCATCATCAGTATGAACTGACGGTCACCTGCGGAAAACACCTTACTTCTGTCACACCCGACCTAGCCAGAAGTACGACTTCACCCTCAAACTTTCATCATAGCGCAATAATTAACACAATGACGGTGGCGGCTTTTTGTCTTACCCAAAAGACCTTTCTGGTATAGAAGAGCTTCAAGGGAAAAAAGCTCACTGTGATGTCGAAGCCCAACCAAAACGCCAGGATCCACTTCCCAAAAATCTAAGGAGCAGCCATCGTTTGTAGAATCACCTAAATTAGGAATGAGGATGGATACTAGTGATAATCGCATTAAATCCCCAATCGACGAAAAGTAGACTTTATACTGGGTGAGGATTGAAGGTAAAATGACAATTTTGAACGCGGCCGGAATCGGACCAGCGACCACCGGGTTTTCGGCCCGATGCTCTAACAACTGACCTGCGAGATCCGACTGCTGACCAGATTTTCATTTCACTTCTATCATCACCCAGTATGAGTACTAGTCTGCTAAACTACGGATAGATAGTCAATTGGTAAAAAGTAGACCATTAGGTTTCAACCTGATGAATAAGATGGTAACTTGCTTGCTTCAAGACAAGATGGTATAGACTCGATCCGTAACACCGTCATAGCCGAGCACTGAAGGTGTGCCAAGCTAGGAAAAAACACGTGTTTAGTGCTTCCAGGTTTTAAATGTTTCTCCCGCTGCCACCAACATGTAATGATAATTACTTCGAAAATAACTTATCGAAGCGTTTTTATTTCTCATCCCGTTCACCACTCTATGCATGAGGAAAACCAGTTATGATAGCCAAGCTGTGTGTGTGTGTGTGTGTAAGACTGAGTAGGTTAACAGGTTATTTTTTACATAGGATAAACAAAACTGGTAAACGCAAACATGCATACACATATAACGTATCTACCTACCTACATAAATACATGCTACCGAAGTATAAGAACTGGGACACACTTGTGCATAGGCAGAATGGAAAAACACTAAAGGTAGGCAGCAACACAATACGTGAAAATTACCACTACTACTAGGCAAATAAGATTAGAAATCATTACAAACCAAAAAGAATGATAACCAAATTCATGAAGATAAAAAAGAATGGATAAATCAAACAAATGAAGGGACACAAGAGCATATAATGTGTTGTATGTATAAATAGTTGATAACCTGGTTGAAGTCATTGCTTTTCAAAAAAAAACTCATCGTACTAGATTGACTGCTATCTCCATTATAAACTTGAAATAAACACCGTCTCTGTACTACATATCACCATCACGCCATCTTGTAAGTTATGCTAAAAGACTGTGAATATAACACTTATGCAGAGCTGGATACAGCCAACTTTTTCAAATGTTCCATAAACCCTTGAAGAGATACATCGTCTGTCAACACTGCACTACCAGATTCCTAAACAACAAAAAACATATAGCAATTGAAGATTATAGAAAAAACTGCCAAAACGATAAATGAATAGATAGAAATGGCTTATAGACATTCAAACTAAGTTGGAATTCGATGGTTTGACAAAATTTGGGAATTGGTGTAAGTGATGTTATTTCAGCATTTGTATTCCACAATGAATGTAACCTGAAAAAAGATTGTCTGAACTGACAGTATGCTACCAAGTACCAATCAAATCAATTGCAAACCTGTATCAACAGTAGCCAAGCTGGTATATGACTTTTTTCTGCGCGGATAATTCTGTGCTATCAAATTATTGAAAAAATTGGCGATTATGCAGATTGAAGCTAGCAAGTGCGTTCGTTCTTCCCAGCGTGTGTTAACAGAATGAAACCGGATCAAGCTGTTTTATTCCATCATTCCTATCTAGACAATTTTGATTGCACTTAACACGAAGGTATTCTGCTTTGAGGTATTATAAAAATCTGTAATGGAATGTATAAAGCCATTTTTGAATAATATTGATATTGTGAAAGCCGACCTTGTATCGTGAAATTATAGCTTGTAGAGCTATGGCTCAGTGATTCTAAGCTTTCTGAACTTCACTGGATGGTCGGGCAGAAGATTGTTCAGGAAGTCTATCCTATGGATACCGTATCACAGTCTGATTATTTTATTTTATAAAGATCATTAGATTGCGAGGACCAAGGTGCTCTGTGGTGTATTTGATGATCTGTAGAAAACTATGATATTGCATTTTCTGGAGCACTGTCTCATCTCATCAAAGTGCATGTGATGACTATGGCTGTAGACAAACATGATTGTGGAGTACTTCCCTCGACTCGTTTAAGGTCATTTCCCACCTTGTGAACGAATTTCACCGGTCAATTGCTCATTTAAAGGATTTTGCTTTATTTAATTCGCTGGTATTTTCATCTTCGTCCGTTATCGAAATAAGTGTCCTCCTCTAAAGACTAGAGGCAACAGGGAGTTCTGCAATGTAAGGATGTGATGAACCAAAACCTAAATATTTGCCGGAGTGTATCATTTCGCTGAAAACAGTGATGCACAAATATCTATTTTCTTTCCGCCTAACTCGACAATTAAGAAAGAGGTGGAAGTTCAGTCATATGGATTATGTTTCCAAGATGAATTTGATACTGCGGGATCTGGAGTTAAAATCATCTATGGAAAATGGTGCCTGTCACGTTTAAAAACTATGCATATGTCATCAACATGCCTTAGCCTATTTTTATGTTTCAGCATATGTACGAAGACACTTTCTCCAGAATGACAAAGCACAGTCAACTATGCAGAAGAATGTTGACCAAGTTATCAGATATACAAGCTTGAATATTGTAAATTCTGGTTAGAAACAACTGTGATAAAGACATTAACACTCAATAGCAAAATATCATTAGAAACAACATTCTTTTTCGATTTACTAGTACAAAGAAATGACTTTTAACAACTGGTAGTTTTAATGAACTTGATCACAAATAACAAATAGACAGGAGACAGAAGTAATGCAGGTCTCAGAATATTGGTGTGTTAGTTGATATCGGTATATTTCACAGACAATACACAAAATCAACAAAAGGGAAAGAAAAAGTGCATAGCATATACCTCAAAATTGCATAACTTATCATCGAACCACTCACATGAGATCATGTCAACTAAGTGCTCAGAAGATAACCAGATAGATGAAACAAAAGTTACCTTTAGACACATGTGTACCAAACAAGGTTTAGTGAAAATGTTGAGTGATCAACCACGATGGAAGTAGACACTACAAGTGAGAGCCCTTCAAGTGCAAATCGCTAGACTTGGGACTGTTTCCGTGAATATCTTCCACCTTCAGTGGCGTGTTTCGCAGTCATATAGTGAAACAGAGCGAAACGCAGCACAGTACATTTGGCATTTAATTGACAATCAGAAAGAACGCTAGTGGCATGAATGCATTTTTCATTCCAAGCAGAGATCTAGTCGGTTACTGACCCACCAGGATTAATATGACTTCCTGAGTAAGTAAAGTGGTCCGTGAGCTCAGCCATTTGACACCGCATCGCTACACCAGACACAAACCCAGATCAGTTATGGAGCAATAGTAGATATTTGGGTGATGAGAAATACACCACAAACACTCCAATTGTTAATCATGTGCATACAAGACTGCATCTTGCCAAAGTACTCTAGATCTACTAAGGAGTTTGCTACGACAAGGTCAATCCCTATAAAGTCGAACCAACAGGTGAGGCAGATCTCAATAAATACTTCAAGACAAAATCAAATGACAATGGAAAAAGTGAATATTCAGTGATGTAGGTAACCCACCATAGGCTTTTCTATACCCAAGAGAGTTCGAATAGAGAGTCTTAATTAAGATTATGGCACTTGCTTGGCATCCTTAGTCAATAAGAGACATTGTTATAATACCTGTCGATATACGAAGTCAAATGCTGCCCTAAGGTCAAGGGACGAAGTCAGTGTCGGGTATCAATGAGTTTACCTATATTCCAAGACCTAGAAGGTGGTGGTAAATGTGGTCGACACGTACACTACCAGGTGTGAAACCTGTCTGGTTTCTTTATGTGAATTTTTCATAAAATATTTCTGGTTAACTGAATTTTCCTGGATGATAAACGAACAAACCAGATAATCGACAACAGGATCAGTGAATCACCAAGATAGCTTGTGTACAGCAACACAATTATTAAGAAGAAGTGTCAGAACTCATAACTGCAGTATATGAGATGATACACATATGTAATTAAAACACTTAGGCAGATATACCAGCAATTACTAGCAGTGGATATAATGAATCCACAACTAATATTTTGTAATTTTAGTGAACACCTTAGTATTTCAAATTTTTATTTATCTACTAACTTCATCTGATTTCGCTTGCTGTTTTCAGCATATTAAGAAATCCTACGTTACCACCCCAGACAAAACAATGGGAAAGCAATACGCAGTCTAATGTATTTAAGGGATGATGACATCTTTCATCAGTCAAACAGCAGATAATACACAAGAAATAAGACTTTTCATTAGAGTGTGATAAGCTCAGTGTGAATAAAATTGAAGATTTTCTTAATCTCTCCTGGCTTCCACCTTTATGCTTTCAGCAATTAAGTACCAACAAAGACTGACTAATCCACTTTGGCAAAATCAACAATAGGGAATCATGAGTAGAAAACTTTTAAAAACTCAAATCAGTTATCCAAAAGATAGCAATTATTTCAATAGATAATTGCTGAGTTTGAATTTCAGTGTGGTCACTGATACGTATTGTGACGCATTTAATGCATATAATGCTTATTCCTGGAATGTATACATGAGTGACTTTATTTTAGACAGAAGTAGTACAGTGATACTTTGTTAGGTTATTTATACAACCATATGAAATGTTGCAACTATAGGAGTTAGTTGACACTGGACTGGTTGTTGAGAAATATGGGCTTTGTGTCATATTTACGGTATAGTGAGAGAGTTTTAAAGTGGTTATATAAATGACAACATAGAATCAAATCAAATAATCAGCTGAATGCCAGTTTATGTCTAGTGATGGAGAGTAAGCCTAAGTGACTGAAATCTTCAATGGGTTGAATACATAGTTTATTATACCTATTTGTCTAGTTTGTACCTTTTATCCTGTATGATCATTTTTGTTTCAGTTAGCCTTTCCTAAGTATACTGAATAGTTGTAAGGCTATTTCAACTGAAGACCTATTGGGTCCTGTTCTAAGCTGCATACTAACTATCTGGGGCTTTATATAATAACATTAGATACATCGCCGATTTAATTATTATGAAGTAATTTTCACTTATTTCAATGCAAACAGATAACATATTCATTGTGTCGAACACGTGAAACGCCACTGACTAGCAGAAAAACATTTTTTTAAATATTGTTTGATACTTGTAATTTCCCATTAGTGCACACCGTCGAATTATTCGACCTCCGTTGTTAGATGGGCTATTATGCGGACGCCTCAATACTCCCGAATACAACTTTTTCTTATTCCTCATTAATTGGGAAATACAAATACCAAAATAAGAAATAGGATTTACCAAGTGTCAATAATCTTTACAAAACAATAAACATCTTAACTTCAATTAGATATTTATGAAACAGCAACAGTAGCAGTAGTAGTGAACAGAGTCGACAAAAAACGAAGAAATCCATAGAATAGTTGTGTGGGTGGAGTGGAAATGAACTCTAGCTGTGTAAAAGTAGTGATTGGGAGTGAAAACTAAAAAGAAACTTGTACACAAACGAAATAAACACATTTCCGTAGCATATTTCCCTTTTCTTCACTGAAATGTCTAACAAATGACTAAATTTAATTGTTTAAAATATTTATTCCTTCAAATCATCTTAACAATACATCATTTTGTGTCTAAGGAAGAAGAGAGCAGAGAATAAGTAATAGCTTCGCTTTATACATACGAGGTTAAAGTGTCGTAGGAGACAGAATTAAATTCTTAACACATTTGCTGTCAACCGACTTACAATTCACTTTATGACTGACTGACTACGCTACTCAATGATAAATAAACATATAGCTATGTTATCTTAGTCATAGATTGTGTACTTCATAGATGATTTATACCAGTTCTACGCTTCAAAATTTCTTAATGTGACAACTAACAACTGACATTACGCAACTGCAACCGAAAAAACGAGTCCACTGTTTTGAAAGTAGAGATAGACTAAGTATTGTTAGCAATTTAAACTGTTAATAAGTATGATAAAATAATCGTCTATGCTGACGAGTTTCAAATAGAAGCCCATCGTGGATTCTACTGCTAGCCACTACTCATCATTAATATTGAACTGAAACGACTTGCAATATTGAGGCATCCGTGCAGGAGCCCATATGCCAGTGGAGACCGATCAATTCGGTTCAAATCAATGGTGGAATGATGCAAGCAACAACACTAAAACTATACCAGTCGTACAAGAAGTGGTTATCATGACTCGGTGGCCTAGTGGACAACATTCTGGGGATTCCAGGTTCGAGTCCCAATGAGAAAAACATTGCTCGCTGGGAGGCAGGCACATCCGGCTGACGAGTCTCAAATAAAACGAAACGCTAGCTACTATCTATTATTATTACAAAACTGTCTACAACTTGTACACTTCCTATGTGACTGATACAAGGTTATTATGTGATACAACTAGGATGACATCAACCCTTTGGTTAATACCATACTGTGAATCTCATTTTCATCTTATGCTAGGAAAGTTTAGTGAATTCGGATGATTACAACAAATTTCCAAAAAGGATCCATTTGAAGATTATAAACATCAATCTGATTTGGTCAAGAGATAGAGTGCGTTACTTGCCGACAGATGTGTCGGTATAACAAACGATTAACTTGACTGGTAGGCAAATAAAGAATAGCAAAGGCATCAAAAAAAAGAGGATATATTCACAGAGAGTGAAATCAAAATTATTGGGTAAAACCAGCACACTAATCATCAATAAAATCCGTTAGATTGGTGCATAAACCGATTTCATTAAACGTGAAGCAAATATTTTGAGCACATTAATATGTTTAGTAAGACACAATTACACTTACACTAACAATAATAATTGACAGATTGAAAAATCTCACACAAAAAAGTCACGTCAGAAGAAAATGATAATAATGTGCACAACGAATATACCCATCTTCGATAATATATATTGACAGGAATTACAATTCATACGCTGAAACTATACGTAGCCACACGACAGTCGATACCGGTGAATTTAAAGACTTGTCTGTATATGTTTAAACAATCGACTGAACAATTTATTGGGTAACAGTGAAAACCTGAGATGAAAGTCTAGATCACTAAGTGTACAGACATGTAGTGTTGACTTGAACAAGACTGCAGGGGGGGGGGGGACCTCAAGACTGTTACAGCAGAACATTCAAAACATTTATCGATAGAGTGGTAAGTATTTACAACCTAATTTAAGAACGTTTTGGTAGTTTGATTGCACCATGAGTTTGAATTTTCATATGAATAGCTAGGCTTAGAGATGAACCTCCTGACTCTGGAGATGAGAAAATATATTCATCAATGACACTGCATGATGATTAGAAAATGAGTCAGCAGACTTCAGCCTAGTCGGTGGATGGTGACATATCCTAGCATCAAGACTTTAGAGGGCTGTGTGCCGCATCTCTGCACTAGGGAGACACAAAATGGGACGAAACATGTCTAATTGATTCCAGTTCCTGATAAAGTTGTCATTATCAAGCCACTATACAGCTTTTTTTCAATTTCTCTTACCAATTATCTCTTATCAATTTCTCTTACGCAATAAGGTAATATAACGAATGCATAAGCTTATTGAAAGTGAGAGTTAGAAGATAGTTTTTCAATAGAAGGCAATTATTTTCCAATCCATGGCATATCATTGATGATATAAGACTTAAAACTGTTCCAAATATTTAGCTTTGTACTTATGAAAACATAAACCCAATTATGTTCGCTGAAGATATTAATATACTGCATAGAGGAAGAGATAGCACGCAGACCTCTACATTAGATATACATTACAGATAATATTTCGGCAATGAATTCTTTTTCAATCGCGTGACTTGGCACACACACACACTTATAACACAGAAGCATTAAAAATGAAGCATTAAATGAAGCAAACATTAGGATTATTCACACAAAAACAGAGCGCGAGGGATACCGAAACCACAAAATATGTACACTGAAAATAAATATACAACTTACATCTGCTTGAAACTGGATAAACAAAAATAGTGAATATGTCCAATTTTATTTAAACACAGATGATGATCAACAGTCAACTAACTGAGTAATCAAGGTCATGCATACATCTGAAGTGATGTCACAGAAGTAAGCACAGTGCAGTAGAACTGGTTACATGAACAAAACAATTACACTAAGATAACACAAATAAGCGAAATTCATGGGACAGGAGTGTTTTATTAACTAGAGAGGAGATGACCTTCAAGAAATGATGGGAAAGATTTGTAGCTCAGCATGAAGATGATGGTGGTTTGGTGTTCTATCAAAGTTTCATCACCAGGCTTGGTAACATCACCACCAACTTCACAGCCAAGTTAGTTCACGACAAAATACCAAAGCTCAGAAAACACCAAACCAGCATGATTTTCAGGGAATAATCACATATAATCGATTAACTCAAGGACGAAATACTGTTTGGCCGATCTAACGACTAGGCTATTTAGATTCTTCGAAGAGTGGATAGTGGATGGAAATTGTTGCGTGTCGAAACAAGGGATAAGGATTAAACAACACACCTTCAGATTAAGTTGGAAAGTGAAGAATCTTTCAGATAGACTTTTTGTTGTAGTATGAGTTTATAAACAAAACGTAAATGGAAACTAGTCTAGATACTTACTTCAACCTTTAGTCAATTAATTGATATTATATAACAATTTTTTTACAACGACCTTCAGCGAATGGCTTGAATTTGATTAGTGATAAAATGATACACTTTAAATAATATTTCAATTAGTACCGAAATGCTTAGTTAGGGAACTATGTTTCGTCTAGAAAAGTGGGATTTTTTACAGAATAAAGAAACGAAACAAGTTGTTTCAGGTTGTCATTTTAACCGTCAAAGATTGAGATATACAAACAAGTTTTGAACATTTTCTGTGACCTATTTCTCCTGACTAGTTGAACAAACAAAAAACGTTTCGTATATAGAGATGTTGATCATCGATATGTGTCGTTTGACTACTAACTGAGGGTGTTACAAGACGAAAATTACTCTACTCACTTACATCACAGAGATTTGAAGGTATTCAGAATGGTTAAGAGTCACTGCCAGAACAAACGAAATTTTCTCTCCAAAAACACAACATAAACGCAAATCAAACACAATTATTAACCCAATGAATAATAAAATTATAACAAATTGTTAAGTTGTGTCTTTAAAATAAAACAAAACCATGAGGTGTAAAACAAATCCAAGAGGACAATATGAAAGTCTTTAAGTTACCTGTCCGAATGAATACATCGTATGATGTGTAAGCGATGGGTTAACTTTGGACAACAGAAATCTTGCCTGACTTCCATCATGCTCTGTTTCAACATATCGAGAAACTGGAAAGCGTACTTTCAATAATTCTTGAGCTTCTAGCCTTGGCTTATCAAGAATCTGTTTAATATGCGCATATTCAGGCATATCCTATCAGAAACAAAATAGGAAGTATAATGATTACACAGTTAATAAATGTGTTCTTTAATAAAATATTCTTAGGTAAGCTGAACTGTCACTGACAATCCAGCCATCAATTTCGTCGTGATTCCAGACTGATTCTGAATCGAAACTCAGCATAAACGTCCTTTTTTGTTAGTGAAAGCTCTATGCCTATTGCTCTCCCTTCAAGAATATTAGTCAAGAAAATAGATCTGTCAAAACAATCAGTTACATAATATCTTAGTAGTAAAAAGTTGCAAATATCGGTTGCATTTTGGATCTAAACCAGTTTGTTTCAAGCGATAGTTTTCCAGGGTCAATCTTAGTTGTTATTATTTCATCGAAATGTACACGAATACACCGTATGGCTTTAGAACATTACCATTTTTTATGTAATTCTATTTATATAGTACAGGCTTATGTACTAGGCTACGAGATTTCTTGAAAAACAGAACTCAGCCGAGAACTTAACACACCAAGCCCATCTGTATCGAAGATATATTGATTATATCCTGATAATTTGTGAAAACTCAAATCAGTCTACTTCAATTCTAAACCGACTGAACGAAGTACAGAACAGTATATCCTTGACATATGTAAGAGAAGAAGATGACTGCTGGCCTTTCTTGGATATATTAATTAGTCGAAGGCGGGATGAATCCATTAAACGATCTATTTACAGAAAACCTACATGGACAGGGCAATATCTGAATCACTATAGCTTTTGTCCAGTTCAGTACAAGCGAACGTTAGTAAGGTGCTTATTGAGCAGAATTCAACGAATATGCACAGAGGATACTTTAGAAGATGAAAGAGGAACACTGACTGATATTCTGTTGGAAAATAAATATCCATCAACATTTATCAGGCAGAACAAAATTATCAAAGCGTCAAAACTAGATCATCAGTCTGTCCCAAAGAAGGATTTCTTCATCAGCCTTCTGTACAAAGGTGACTCTCATAGTGCAATCCTTAAGCAGAGACTTAACGCTGCTGTTAGAAGGACTTACTATGCAGCCAGGGTTCAAGTAATCGAAACCACGAAGCCCTTATATTCCCCCCAAACCCCCACAGCATATGAACGACAATGTCACATCCCATTGTATCTACCAATTCAAATGTACGTGTAGTGACACATAAATAGGGAGGACTAATAGATCCATGCAAGTAAGGGCCTCGGAACATATTCCAAAGTGGCTTCAGAAGCAAATCAAATCACCTGAACCTATAAATGTTGGTAGCAGATGTCCAAGTTCTTCGATCGCCAAACATATCGTTGAGACAGGTCACAAGATTGATGTGGCTATTTCCTTTACACCTATTTACAAAACATGTTGGGAAGGGATCCTGAAATTTGTTGAGGCCCTATGTATTAAAAAGGTGAAACCACCTTTGTGTTTTCATAAACAATTTGTTGTCACATTAAATCTTCCTTGGTAAATTCAACTATTGAGAACCAAGTTCGATGTACTATAATTTTTGCTCTATTGATTTTCAGTGTTATTCGGCCTTTAAGTCAGCCTTCCTACCTGACCTCTTTTTATTTTCTCACCCCTTATTTTCATGAGTTTTTATATAAATACCTATGACAAGTACGTGTGTGATCAGATAGTTCGAAATGTGTTGCGCAAATGCATTACACGGTTCAGACAATTTGCGTCTTCTTATTGTTTTGTCGAAAAACAGTTGCTTAAACTGAAAATTAGCACCTCTTTAACAGCTATACGACACGGTGGACTAAAATACTAATAACAATATGTTTCATGAAAGTGTATAATCACAGAGACAGTGTAAAATTAGGAGTAGACGGACAACAAACAAACCTTTCGGATCTATACACAAACATACCGGTTTCACCAGAAAGTAGTCAATAGGCTTGGTAAGCATCACAACCAAAGAGTTGTGTGCAAATAATTCCTAGTTACAAAATAATGGTTTGAATCTACATTACATCCGGTCAGTTCTGGTCGGTTAAACAAATTCGGGGAGATTGGGAACCGAAGTACACAGAGAACCAATTCAAACGGATTAAATCCTCAACCACAATAACAACAACAACAACCCAACAGCACATAAAATCAGTTGTATAAAGCGATTGTTCAAAAGAGCGAAGACACACTGTAGAACATCAAGCTTACGGAGAAAAGAAGAAGGTTTTCCAGAAGAACAGCTATCCACTCAACTTCGTCAAAAGGTGTGTCTAATTCACCGTCAACCAGAAAGTCATTCTTGGAAACCGACAAATGGATCGTTTCACCTTACATCAGAAAAGTATCCGGGGTTGCAAATAGATTACTGAATCACTGCAGCTAACAAACCAAGAAAATTTCTTCACTTTCTGTTATGTAGACTGAGATATATAATAGCAAGAGAGGATAAGCCAAACGTTATCTACTATAAAAACGGCGAGATACACTATATCGGACAGAGTGGTCGTTCTCTTCTTATGCATGTACATGAATATAAACTAGCAGTGAGGCGTCATAACGTATCTTCGCTCATATCAGTACACATAGACAATTGCGGACATGAAATCGACTGGAAATATGTGGAAATCCCGGATAAAGGAAATACAAAGGATACCAGAGAAATTTTAGAAGCTTGGCATTCAGGTTAGTCAGCGATTAGCCGACATTGACATTGACGTAATTTATCAATAACCAATAAGAAACATGAAACAAAAAAAGAGCAAAGTTCACTTCGAAAAAACAACTAATTACACCCAAAATCATCAGGAAAAGCTACTAAACCACTTTTGGATGACCCTCTCTAACCCACACATTGATAATCAATGTGATGTGTTGGGATAGATAGCAAATGGTTCACACAAAGACAGACTATACATATTTTCATATATTTAACTAACCAGATAACCAGCTTTCTTCCATTTTGCAATAGTATCACCTTCATAGATTAGTATTAGGAAAAAGCTATCCATTAACAACACGCGCTCTGGTTGTATACTACTAGTATCTAACAACACTGGCTCTTCACTTCCATCCAAATTGAACGATGTCAAGGATGGTTGTATCATTAACAACGAATTGGAGCAGTCCTCTTTATTCAGAACGTGACTAGGAAGAAGTAAAAAGAAATTATTATATTAGTAGGCAGTACATATTTGTTGTTATCATATATTTAAAAATAATAACAACCCAACCAAATCGAACAGACTACTGACTAGGAAGCATAGGACCTGGCAATGTTTAAAAAAACTGAACAGTGAGCAGAGTTACGGCCTAAAAGAGACAAAGAAAGAAGAGTCATGACGACTAGATGAGAATTAATTGTTACCAGAGATATGAGGGTGACTGACATTTCAAGTGCGCCAACACAGTAAAAAGTGGTTTTGCATTTAGAAATTGAAACTCACTGACCTATGACTGTGATTGTGACTAACTTAATCAATGTAGAACTTTGCAAGGGAGTACATCAGCTTAAGTTGCCATACTTCACGGTAGTATACAAAGAACAGGTAGATAGAGAAAAGTAATGATGTCGAAGCGGACCACTTTGTTCAACACTACGATGGACAAAGTGGTCAACCTCTTCACCTTCGTCTACATGAACACCAATTGGTTATTAAACGTCACATTTCATCACTCATTCCAATGCATGTGGATAACAACGATGGACATGAATTCAATTTCGACAATGTAGAAATTTTGGACATAGGAAACACAAAGGATATCAGAGAATTCCTAATAGCCTGGCATACAGGTCAGTCAGCAATCAACAGATGTATAGGCATAGACCCAATCTATCAACAAATGAGAGAAATGATAAACAACAGAAAGGTCAGAGGTCAAGCAAAGGAACAACCAATGGGAGAATCTATACAGTTAATGACTCAACAATCAAGGGGAACAACCAATTACAGACCACTTCGTCAGGGCAAGCTACTAAATCACTCACAGAGAGATATTGACAGCTCACTTCATAGTGAAGTTATTGCTGATGATGTCATCTAGAAAGACGATGAAAGCTTTATGAATAAACAACCTAGCTCAGAGAACACAATACAGTCAAGACCATCCACCTGAGCTACAAACATTCCCCACCATTTCATACTCTACCTCAACTAGATAACCTCCAGGGAGTAGGTCAATCCGTAAGTTATGACCAAGTGGGGAGGCACCACACTTACAAAGCTGGTCACTTGAAGGAAATACTTTGTAGCCGTTACGTTACTATTTAATCAAGGGTAAGATTAAACTTTCAGACCTCCATACTAACATACACTAATTACACTATCACGGCAAGGGCTTTTCGTTTTACTATCTAACAGACCTTTATCTAAAATAACGATTGGTCGAATTCGACCTGTGCAGAATACTGAATCAGCAAGGGTACATAGATTACCTATTGGTTGCAGGTGAAACAGAGACAAACAAACGAAAAACTTAGACACTAGCAAGAAAGTGCATCATTTCAAGTCGTGGAGTTGTAGTTGATTGGTTTAAATAGATGACTTTCAACCAATGGATCAAGAGTCCGATCACCGCCCCAATTACCAAGGTTTGGACAGCCAATTAGTATTATTAGCCCCCACAAGACCCGTGTGACTCGTCAACTGCTACACAAACGTCCGCAAGGTTGCTGAGTAAGTTTCGATTAGACGTAAAGTTGCTACATTTCATAACAGTATGCAAAGAACAGTAGACAGAAAGAGTGAAACTATAATACAAAAAAGTACATGGGTGGAGATAATCAATCAAGTTTAGTGACAACCCTGAAGTTTCCAATGATGTCAGAGAGAGAATACATCTGCACCGTTTTAACTGATTTTCAGCGGTGGGACCATAAACAATTTCCAACCATTGACTTCTAGTATCTCGAGCACCCCAAACAAACTAGTCTACACGGCTCAAAGCAACAGTTGAAGACATCATGGACTAATGCCGCATTTTGATGCGACCACTCTTAGCCTTCTCCCAACCCAGCTCTATTTCGGTTGACAATAAATGTCGAGGCAGATGATGAATCTACATGCTAAACACGTATTGAAGTCATTGCAGACGCTGAAGGCTCGCAACTTCACCAACTGGCTTGCCTTTTTTGCCCAGTATCTTCTTTTTAAATCTCTTCATTGCCTAAACGGTGATTTCAGATACACTTCATTGATGAGCGCCTACATGTACGGAACTTTCAACAAGTACAGCATCCTGTCGACTGACTAATACTAATATTTAACACGAAACAATGTATCACAGCAATGTGTCAATATGGCTTAGGGATTGCATTGCAAACTCTATGCAAATAAACAGCTACATAAGTTATCATTCGATGACACATTCATTTGCACAACTATCTCAATCAATACAGACTGCTGGGTTAACACGAACACAATGCATGTTTACCTCCTATCAATAAAGGCAAATAATGATGACGACGCCTTCTGGATAATTTAACATAGGTTTCCAAAAGGGTATAGTAGTGCCACATTTTACAACTCAAACAGTATTATCCTGTGATGTAACTACATGCGTACCCAAAACTCTAGGGGACTAAAAATTACTAAAAAGTATGAATAGGTTTCGAAACCAACACTTAATTCTCTAGGATATCTAAATGTAATGTTTATTGTTGACAGTCGTACACGTTTAAGTGACTCACAATATGCAGAGCATATTTGGAAATTCCTTACAACAACACACAAAAACAATTTAGAAACAAGTGAACATTTTTAAAACTAAAGTTATATCAGTTTATGTAGGCGGTGAATTTTAAAAACGGTTTTTATAAGATTATAGACATCCAGACCGTAGTTGTTACGAATGTCCTGGAAGAAGTCGAGCGCCCAGTTTGGTAGTTTTTATAACTTTGATTATTTACTTCAACGGAAATCGTAACTTTACAAATCTTCAGCATATAAAAATAACAGTCAGAAGTTTCTTCTAAACTTGGAAATAATTGGTAGTTGCAGACTTGAACTTGGAATACATATCGAAATGTCGAACATGTCTCAAAGACTTGTACACTTGGGAATTTTCCACTTGTATGAATTAATCTTTTTTAGGTAGTCATCTGCATACCTTCAACTGTTTTCATATTTCATTATGACTATCTTACTGTTGAAGGGTTGAGATAACATTCAACATTGAGAATTTCTGATTATAAATTCAACGTATACTGACTGACGTATCAAGAAGTGACACCAGTCCATAAAGTTTATGACTGTTGGTCTATGCTGCGCTTAATTAGGATCCTCAATGATTGCAAACTCTTGCCGACCCTTAGCTAAAAGTTAGTCATAATAGCACAAATATATTCACTATTAAACTTCTTTGAAATAGTGAATACTAACACTTTCATGTAACCTTAATATTACAATTTTTTTACCACCTTGTTCTTTTGTATGCTGTTGTGAAATATGGTAACATGAAGCGGTGCACTTCTGTGTAAGGTTCGACAATGATTTCGTCTCACAGCTTGTAATCTCGATGACTAAACTACCTTCACAATAGGTAACACCCTAGTAGTGGGCCAAAAACAATGTTCATATTATCAAATAGATGTATTGTTAAAAAGAAGCAATACAATTATATAAATCATGTTTATTAACCTCGATAATTTGCTTTAAACAAAGTATACTCAAGATAATTTTTGCTTCACTGAAGTCAAAATTAGGATTGACTTGGCATAACGAGATGAAAACAACTTAAGATTATATTACATCAAATACTGATAATCGAATTGCATTACCTTGTTAGTGTACATATTACGATATAAAAAATTCTACTGTTCATTTACTACATAGATCATTACAAATGAATGTTTATTACATGCCAAGACAAAGGAAACAACCATGCTTGCTTAGAAGGTCAACAAAGAATATACAACATAAGGAAATACGGTTGACCCAGAGACTAATCAGTCAAGAACAACAAAGTACCAATGTATACTAACTTAAGTCAACTAGTGTTTATTTATAACCAGTGAATACTACAATGTCAAACAACTTGAAGAACAATATTACAAACCTTATCACTAAAATTTGTTAGATAATGAAGTTTGGATAGGCAGTTTGATTCATTTCTTATAGGGAATCCATTCGACCAACTGTTGTCATTATTCTACTTAAATCATCAGTTATCCTATATCAACCAAGAAAGTTCATCTAATGGCATACAATATCTAGTACATCAATCAATTACTAAGTTATCCTTATTTTAATAATCAACAAGGTTGTTTACATATTATTAAGCTGAATAATAGAATTGTTTCTTCCTGGCAACAAAGTAGGGAAAAAACATGATTTTAGCATTTGAGGTAGCAGTGATTTGGTTTGACAGACTTGTATCATATTGATATTGGGTGATGATTAAAAATGAAATGAAGACCTAGGTCGCGACAGGATTTGAATCAACAACGTCCCAGTTACCAGGACTCAGATCAATCATCACTCAGTGAATGACTCAATTTCCAACTATCCAGTACAAACTATTATTTTTGTTTATTCACCAATCAATCTAGCACACAAAGTGATCAAGGTTAGCAGGTTATGTTGTTAAAATATAATCTGTGTAATTAAACAAAGGATATACTTATTAAAAATGACAACTTTAATGAAAGTTAATATAATCCAATTTACCGATAATAGGCTGTTTCATCTGGACTATTGTTAAACACCTGTAAAAATTGTGAACGTCGCATATGGAACATAAATTGTGGATAGAATGAAAATTCATCCGGTAATCGAAATGACGATGGATCATCTTTACGATAGTCTCCAAATTTATGGCATAGTTTAATTAGTTGTCTATCTAACCATCTGTATAAAATGAAGTAGGGAGGGATAGATGATGAAATGACAACAGTTTTTCAAATGACTACAGCTGTATTGAAAAAAATCAACCATTATGGACCATACAAACACAGTTAAGAAGGATATATAGTTATTATTACAGTGAAAAACATTAACCACTAAAATTTCACCCAGGCAGACAGTATTTCAATATATTTATCACAAAACCTTCCGTTCTTTAAGAAGTTTTCTTCCAGTAAGAGTTATTAATTCGCATTGAAAATGAAAGATGACTAGATTATCCCTGAAAGACATATTGCGTAAATACTGACAGCTCGGAGAGTATTTTCAAAAGAACATTTACATCTTGAGCCACATAGTTATTCTACCATTTCAAAACCTACTTTGGAACAGTTATATTGCAAAACGATTTAGTCTTCACAATAGACGTAACCAAGTCCTACAGATTGAAAAATGCAAATGTATCATCGAAGAACTCAATGTCAATCCAAATGCTTTATATATCCTATAAAATGCGGCCTTTCAAGTGAAATATTAATAAATATGTCAATTTACATTCAACACTGAAAACAAAACATAAATACACGCACATAATTCACTTCATATTCTCCTAGACACTGACTAGTAATCTATAACAAGGTATATCTAGACATATTTTGAAACACACGAATTCGAATTATTTAAACACTGTCTACTCGACTAGCAAACCACGTCAGTTGATATCAGGTATGTCTATGCCAATTTACGCCACCTATGGCGCCGCCGTGATATCCGTTCGTCTATTAAGGGTCGCGTGTACTGCACAGCAGTTAGGTCTGTTCTACTGTATAGCTGTAAAACATGGCCATTGAAAGTGGAAGATATAAGAAGGCTTCAAGTGTTTGACCACCGTTGCCTTCGTAGTATAGGCCGCCGTATTCCGTGGTGTCACCACGTGAGTAATGCAGAAGTGAGGTATAAAGTTTTAGGGAGTAGAGGTAAATCGGTTGATGAGGTTATGAACCTTCATCAGCTGAGATGGTTTGGACACGTACTACGTATGCCCAATCACCGATTGCCTCGTCACACAATGTTGGCCAAAGTAGGTTCAGGCTGGAAAAAGACCCGAGGTGGTCACACTAAAACATGGCACCAATGTATGAAATCTTTGACTGTTGCTTCGAGCCATGTGGGGCGATGCAGACTAGGTGGTTGGGGTCGGCGGGACAAGAGGAACCAGTGGTTGGAGACTCTAGGTGATCACATGGCTCAGGACCGATGTGAGTGTCGCATATGTATACAAACATTATCCTCATCTAAACGACGCTATATCGAATCTAACCAATTTGTCATTCTTCTTTTCTTTCTTCTCGTACTTTACATTTCTTTTGACTGAATTTTCTTATCTTCATCTTGTACTTCACTGCCTTTTTACTGATAAGAGGTGTGGCAACTCGGACCGTTAAGCAGTAATGCCTGGTCCTATGTTGATATTGATGATGTATGTCTACAGAGTTAGATTACAGATTTGGTTGATACAACCAGTAGAAAACAAGAGACCATTGAGTCTTGTACTGGTATCTGCATGACTTATCTGGTAAGTACGAAACTTAAATAAGCGATGGAAGAAACAAAATATTACTCCATGTGTATCGATGATACATTCATCGTGTGTAACGATTTACGCCATGCATTTCAGTTGCTAGGACTTGTCAAGAACGCTGATACAAACATTGGATTGAATGTAAAACACGATAACCATATCTTATTCGATTTTCCAGACATTATTATACGACGTTAGACAGATAGTATGCTTCAAATTTCGAAAGAGTACGAGAAATGAACTGTATCTGAATTTTAATATGTTCTGATTGGCTACTTGCATAGATGCACCAACAAGAATATAATTTCACATAGCGACAATGAAATGAGAAAAACTGGGGAAGATTTGCTTTTCATTGAGAAATCCCTACGAGGCAGTAGCTGTTCGCTGAGTTTCTTCAACAAATATACAAGGACTAGAAACTGTAAGCCAGCAAAAAAATGGTTTTTATACACTTCCACTCATAGGATATGATTGTGTAGGGATAAAAGATTGAGGGTAGCACTGGTAAGAAATTGTCATGTTACCAAGTTGATTTCAATTTTTCAGATTGTGTTTAGTGCTAAGACAGAAGTTGATAGGTATCCCTCCTTTGCTACCTCCAAATAGCTGGATCATTTTAAGTGTAGCGTTCAAAACAAGTACACTGGAAGAACAGAAAAAAGAACATATCTTAGATTTCCTCAACATGCTATGAAGATTCAGGCGGTTGAAGAGAGTTAAAAGAAAACCGTGGACCTAAGTTTCTGGCTTGTCGGAACTCGTCAACAAGGCGTACCTACAACTTTGAGGGAAATGATTTCTCTCCAAAGATTCGAGTCCGTTTTACCCACTGCTACCGTCAGATACGCTACTAAATGAACTATTCAGGCCATAACTCACCTCTCAGTCGACTGAAGTAAATACACTGATTTTTTATTACTGTAGAGAAATTAATATTATGTTGTTTAGTACTTAGAGCTAATCGAGTTATATCAATCGTTTCGTAAAATCGGTTACTTTCCAGTGACCAATTAATGTATGTACTGAAGGCCTTAAGAAGCAAAGGAAGAAACATTCTCAACAGTAGAATCGATGGCCATTGAATTGAAACACGACATCGGGTAGACACGTTGAGTACTTTGGAGATAAACAGAGTGGATTAAATCTCTTAAGGTTAGTTGAAGTTATAGTTATCTAACGGTTGAAGCCTGATTCATGTGTTTAAAAGGAAGCTGTTATCAGTCTTTCCCCACCTAGATAACCTAATTTAAATTTCACCATAACTTGGTTATGTTGATTTCATTATTAAACATAAACCTTGATATTCAATGCTAGTTTATTACATAGTATTGTGTTGAACCTTATGCACTTCACATTAACCTCCAACTAATTTAGTTTACCTCAGCAAATTCCATACAATTTTCATTATATCCACAAATTTAGTTATTGGATCCTACATCCTCAGACTCATAATATTTTGTTGCCACCCTGGTTCTTTTTTCTAGAACTTTCAACGATGGAATGCGCTTTCCAAAGAAGGAACAACTGTTTACATTTACATTTTAACGTAAATGGCTCGTAGTAAGCAGGTGAAGACAAACCAACGCAATAGAATAGTGCAATGCTATCCTGCCTAAATTGTTCTTCTTTACCTTTGCAAGTGCATCTAGGGAAATGTGTATGAAATTTTTTACAGAAACACCTTTCTGCAGTTGTTTACTACTGCTTAAAGATAGTGACTGTTAGTGAAAGATGGACGGTAATGCGAACCGTTGCATAAAACTCATTCGTTTACGTTACGTTGGTGGCAAAGTAACAGACTCTTAAAATACACGTAGACAATATCACTTATGTAAACGATTGGTTATATAACCAGTGTTCATGAAAGAAAAATTACCTTAATACATCAACACTGTCGGTTGTCTCAGCTCTGAACATAGCCATACGGGCAATGAGAACAGTAGCCGCTTCTTGATCAAAACCGCATATCATATGAGGTAATTGTGTACTTGAATCAATCCAGTTACGACACGCTGTTGTAACACGTAATTTCCGTTGACCATTAGCGCGTTGATACTGTGTAACGAACTGAACGTATCCTCTACCGCCTTGAGGTATTTGTGCCCCCCCACCACTTCCGCTAGATGAAGTAGCTACCTCAAAATAGATGGCTAGTGTAGTTGACGGCGTAAAACCATTTAAACGCCAAACAGAAGTACGACCAATTCCAATCTCTTGTTCACCTGTATTCGATGTTTTAACATTAGCTGAGAAACATGGTCCAATACAACCGGAAACTTTGAGTTCCTTAGATGTCTAAATAAAAAATAAGGTTAGATGGAATAGTGTACAAAACGATCTACATATTTCAACATGCTTTGAAAATTTTCGGATAAACAGATTAACACAGTAGAAAGTGCCATTTCAGATGACAAAATCAAAATCAGACAATAACGTCTGCTGCTCAAAGAAAAGGTTAGATAAACTTTTCGTAAATCTCTATATTCTATTGTCTTGTAGACCACGTTTAAGTAGCATAAATTACCACAGACGGCTAAAAGCCAACAGTTAGACAATTTGTGAGTTTGTTCCCAATGTTTAGATCGTATTCGAAGGAGGTCATTACCACCGTAATCCTTCTCTAAGCAACACAGATTATCCACACAGGTGGTGGCTATCCACGTTATAAATACTATCAGTAGGTTTCAGTCGATCCTTCATCTTTTTGTAAACTAATCTGCTACCTTTCCTTGAAACTCTATTTTACAAGCCACAATAATCCTACTGTACGCTAGCCAAAATTCAGTGCGAAAAAGTGCTCTTCATACAAAACTTGTGCTTATATTACCTATACAAAATGGAATATGCAAAAAATCGAATCCTGTTAAACTTACGGAAGGGTACATAGTTAACAGAACCTACGTACAGAAAACAGTATTCAGGGGAAATATAGACATTAGTGCATTGTCTTGGTGAGTCTTGGATTTGGTGCTTTTGTAATGTGACAGCTATAAGGAGTAAACTGTTCCATGAAGTTCTACACTCTTTAAACATACTGTCTTTCGTATTAGGTTTACAGAAATATGTTCATAGGTGACAAACGGAAAAACAGTCGAACAATCTATCCATTCAGAAACAACAAAAACAGATGAGACTAGTCACTTCGTAGTATTATGAATAATGATAAGCAGTGATACTGTTTGGGGAGATCACGCGCCGGCTCGACCCCCCAGTGGAACCTAAATGGGAAACAACGAGTTGAGGGTCCGAGGCGAGGGTGACATGGAGGAGATCGTGTGAGGAAGAAATGAAGACTTCTGGGCATTCAAGAAGCCAGGTTAGGAAGACTGCAGAGAACAGAGTGAAATAGAGACGTGCTACTGAAACCCAATGTTCCACTAGGAACCCAAGGGACAAGCAATAATAATAGTGATACCGTTTGTGCATATCGACTGTGTGTATAGTGCCAGAGTATGATGAATAAAGTTGATGGAGCTCTTGAGTCATGGAAGGATTAGAGCAGTGACATCTATATCAACAGCCAGAATTTCTGTTAATACGAACAAGAGAGATAACTGCTAATTGACTCCTAATTTCACAATAAAATCAGTCTTTTCGTTAGATCCTATTATTTGATACAAGAAAGAGATGATATACGGTAAACAATCTCAGATGAGCAGTCAACGAAGTACTAGTGTATTCAGCATCATTTTCACTTTGGTGGTCAAATGTCACTTCAGCATGAGATTCATTACTCGGCAGGACAGTGGAGATGGTAATTCAAGGGAAGACGCTGACTCAACAATGTTACCATTTACCAAAAACTAAAATTACTTATCTGACAGGATTATTGATGGTGGGTGATGATTGAAGGTGAAGTGAAAATTTTGGCAGTGATGGGCGTTGGACGATTATATTCAGATAGTCAAACTGATAACAGGATTATGTAAAGCATTTCAGCAGAGGAAAATACAAAAAAAACGAAACAGGATATAGTAATTCCTCATTTAAAAACTCACTTTTACTTCCATTTGACCAGCTAATCCCATTAGAAATGAACCTGATGCATCCTTGTTAAACACACGTCGATAAGTTTGCTGAAATAGGCTTGATGCAAAACTATCTCCCATAATCATATGACCACCGGTGTAATTAGTTAAATAACGTAATTCATGCAAACCAGTTTGATCTAATGAACAACTAAAGATATCGACAACGTGGAAATTCTGTGCAGCACGATTAGCCAATCCTTCATAGTGCTAAATAGAATAACGTAGTAACAAAATATGTAGGGAATAAAATATCCTTATAAAATTCAATAGCTAATGAACAAATACTGGTTTCAAAACTTGTGATGAAGTGATCAGTGAATGCTGAATATAACCAAGACACTGCTACAATATACTCTAGGATCTGCAGAACATCGTAAGTGAAACCGGGCTGTCTATCCAAGGTTCATTTAGTCGAACACCTTCAAACACAAAGCATGCATCCTTATATGTCTACCGTTTAAAATGCTGTAATCATGTACTAAGTGTACAACCTCGATCAAGAACAAATATATCTTCAGGGATATCGCACATAATAACTTGCAAGTACTGAAATGAATAGACGCATTTTATTCCTCATGCAGAGGTACGCGTATTAGATTATGAGACACATCTATTATATGAGAAGCAGAGATAATAATAGGTTGTCTAGACGTAAGTGGATTTGTATCCATAACCGAAGACCAGATACATACGCAAGAACCAACATATCATACATTCGATTTTCAGAACCACCAGCCAAGATATTGACAGATAAAAGCTACGGGTGACAGGTTCGAAATTCAGTAGAAACAACACCATATCGGGGTGCAGGTAGATCCAGATGATGAGTCCGAAATACGAAAAAATGCGCATTCTGAGTTTTACTACTAACTATCAGGTCCACAAGAGGTCGATAAGCTACTACAACTTAATCAGTCTGGTCTTACATTAAGAACGATTGGAAATGCACAGTTCTGATTATTCTCACAGGTACTCTTCCATTATTGACAAGTGTAAAGGAATTGACCAACTGGACGTACAGAAACAAAGTAGGACCACTACGGCATTATGCGATGGGTCTAAGTAGCTATACTTGAAAACTAGCTAAATAAAGTAAAACAACCCAACTTAGTCACCAAGTACAGCTTACGTAATAGACTATGGATCACATTATGTGAGGGTTTATGATAATGCTTAGTTATTTGGGCAAATATAGGTAGAGTGGAGCTTAAAACCATGATCCCATCAAAGTGGACAAACTTAATGGTAAGCAGTGACTAGCAGAAGAATAACGGCGTAGAAACTAAGTCAAAGACAGAATGCAATAAATAGGCAGAAAACAAGATGTTTATTAGTTACAATCAGACAATCAATATCAATATGGAATCTGATATCCCTGCGTCACCGTCCAATTTGCCACATCTCACATCAGAACATCCAAACACAAGGCAGCAAAGTGTAACAAATAGGGGGATAAAAAGTAGTTATAAGTAGTAGGTCAAAGAAGAAAGAAGACAAGGCAAAACACTGAGGAAATTAGACACGAGAGTTAAGAGGAACATAAAACATGGAGGCATCTGCACCACTGATATCGATTCTGAATCACATCACCCAGTCTTCAATCCTCAATCTCAGTTGTCACATAGACACCAACCAATAAGTTCGCATATCTCTACACAGCTCAAACTAACAGTCAGAGACTTTATGAACTAATGGTAAGTTTCAGTTTATTCGCCTCTAAGCGCTATTCCTCTTAGACTTCCTTAAATTAACATTGAACGGGAAACATGCTAACTAGGAGTATACAGCACGCGCTCCAGATACCTGAGTTAAGTGACTTAATTCCTTGGCCTAGAACTGTAGTGGTCCCACGGCACCGCCTTACGGTAGGGTAGACAATGGATCAGTACATGGTAGGGAGGATAGAAAGTGAACAGAGTTCAGAGTAAAAATGATGGACGCTTAAAGCTGTTAATTATTCTGTCGCAGCACCAGTGGAAAAATACAGTTCCTCAATTATTATATAGTTGAGTCTATGGACTATGAAAATACCAGGCAGTTTACATTCTACAACAATTTTAAAGTTACACACACACACTAGACCCTTTTGTACTTTCGATCAGTAACACAATAGGAAAACTGCTATTTTTTAACATTTTCATTTAAAAAGAAGTAAGTGTCAAACAAACTATAAGTTACCATTAGATATATATCATATTTGTATAAATCACAGTGTATTTGCAATAAAAATTCCAACGTTTCGCATGAAATTCGAGTCCGATCTTCTTCAGAGAAATAATTGAATTAAGATTTCAATTATAGAAACATAAGAAAGTGAGCATGTATAAATCCGTTAATTCATTCTATCGATATACATGTCTACAACTTAGCCATACAGTGGAGAATTATATGTCTGATGAATCACATGATGTCTAAAGCTCATATGGACTTGCTGTCTGAAGGACTAACACAAACAAGATATGAAAATTTTTGATACTGACTGATTTTGTGTTGAAATCTAACCATTTAAAAAAAACTATCACATTATTTAGTGTTTTGTACCACGGCGAATCTTAACGAAATCGGAGAGATCACGGTCACAAGTACATCTCCACAATAAAATGTGGTACTATAGCACGAGTAGTGTTGGGTTACGAGGAGAGTAACATGCAATTAAAGCGAATCAACCGATGAAGTTTTGGACTTTAATTAATTAAGTAGCTTTCATTTACACTGTGCCAACGAAACCACCACGTACTCAAACCTATAATACTAACCGAAGTAGAGTTACTTCAGAAAAATGACATCAATCCATGTCATCGATGAACGATGCTTTGACCATGAGTGAAGGTGTAAGTTGGGGTCAACATGAGAGAAATTAGTGGTTGGTGATTCGTTGAGATATGCTACGAAATCGATGAGAACGCCGAAGATGAACACACTGTTACTTTGGGAATTTTGACCCTTTTCATCAACCCTTATTTACTCCTCATTTCTCGCTTCATACATTTCACACACCTAGAATATAAATTTTTTCCTATCTACTTCCTCGCTAGGAGTTACTGAACAGTGTTGCAATTTAAACTGATCCACTGTCGCACACCATGCTAATCTTCTCTGTATCGTTCCAATTTTAGTATATGCACCGCCGAAGCGAGTCAACTCTTTACCTCAACTTCATCTACTTTGGAAAGGTCTTCGACAGAGTCGACCAAGAAGTAATTTGGCAGGCAGCTGCTTCAACACTACACAGTTCCACAAACCTTTATCAACCTCATTCATATGCTATGCTATATGATGAGGCTACATGCCAAGTGATTCACAATGGAAAGCTCAGTGACGCCTTTGAAGTGAAGACAGGAGTAAGACAAGGCTGCCGCCTACTATCACCAATCATCTTCCTGATTGCGATCGACTGGACTAGACTGGATCATGAAGCGAACCGTGAGAAGCGAGAAGACGGGCATACGCTAGTTGGGCCGCTGGGAAGACCCTACAAGATTTGGATTTCGCCGATGATGATTTACGTCTAATGTCTTGTCGCACAAACTAGAAGATCTATAGGCGAGAACTAATAAGTTGGCAGGAGAAGCGAGGCAGCGAAGACGGGACTTCCTTCAGGTAAACGTAGAGAAGAGAAAGGTGATGAAGATACCCAACCAACAACAGCATCAACAGCAAGCACCGATCACCATCAATGGGAGAAACCTAAAAGAAGTTGTCTCTTTCACCTAACTACCTAGGCAGCATAGTTTCAACTACAGGCGGCACAGGCACAGATGAGGACGTCAAAGCCAGGATCGGGAAGTCAGAAAGACAGGCCTTCATCAACCTGAAACCAGTGTGGAGATCTACTACACTCAGAGTAAACAGCAAGATCCGATTTTCAACATCAACGTCAAGTCAGTGCTTCTATATGGTTCAGAGACTTGGCGCGTCACGAAAGGCATATCCAACAAACTACAGATATTCATCGACAGCTGTCGTCTACGTTCACTCGATACTGAAGATTAGATGGTCAGAAAAATAAGCCAGGAGGAACTCTGGGTGGCAACGAACCAACCAAGAACCCATCACCCAACAAATATGCAGAAGAAAGTGAAGATGGATTAAATCGATATAGGCTGAGAAGACTGTGGGGACATCACGCGCGAGGCCCTCGGGTGGAACGGAAATGGGAAACGACGAGCTGGACGTCCGAGGCGAGGGTGACATGGAGGAGATTGTGTGAGGAAGAAGTGAAAGCTTCTGGGCAGCCATGGAGCCATGGTTAAAAAGATCGTAGAGAACAGAGTGAAATAGAGACGTGTTACTGTTTTACTAGGAACTCAAAGGAGAAATAAATAACTGTCATGCACCGTTCTAAGTTGGTTCTATTACTCCTACTAACCTGTTCTGCGTATATACGCAAGCAAAACTGAAATCCGGTCAACCATCCAACAACATCAATCAAATTAACCATCACAATTAGACTAAGACACTTCTCAAATTGGTAGAAAAAGCCTCAAGGATGATACAGTGAAATGTATCATCTTGAAAATAGTCGTCAATGCAAAGTTTTGACACGTGATAGCCAGTAGTCTAAATGAAACCTGTTTACCTATCAACTTATAATAGCACTAACTGTCATTATTCAATACAAGTAAACAGAGCAACATTTACGCTTATCTAAGACTTACCTTCATAGCTCTACGCATATATTTACAGTTATCCTTTTCCATATCATGATGAGAACGTATAATATTTTTCAAATCATCATCTACAACCATACCAGGACCTTGAGTACACGGACCACCAAGAAATAGCATAACTCTAGCCCCAGTATTCGGATATGCTGACTCCAAAAGGCCTATTGCAATACTTAAAGCTGTACCTACTGAACGCAATGGACGTTTGCCTTGTGGTACAGGCCAAGGATCTGGTTGTAATTCAGTAAGAAGATCAGTCAATACAGCATCACATCTTTCCATGGGTTGAATAAATCTACAGCAGCAAAAATATAGATGGAAAATAAAGAGTTTTAGATGCACTTCTGAACAAGACTATAATGAAATGACGTTTCAAATATAATGAAATACATCCAACTTTATCGACGCTTCATCCCTAGGGAAAAAAATTGACACATCGAAATCGACCCCCAAAATGCGAAGTAGGAACGCCTCTGACTGCAACAACGGCTAGCTAATGAGTCTCAGGTAGGAAGTTAGTTTCCTAGAAGTTTTAGATACGCTCCGCTGGCGTGTGCCAACAAGCAAGAAACCTAGGTTTAGATTTCCCTGTCGTTCGCTTCCCTTCAATTAAAAACTAAACTCTGTTAGCAACCAAGTGCAAGCTTGTGTACTAGGTAATCAGTCACACCAATTGTGTGAGGGCTGATTATACTACCTAGCAGCCCAAAACATGGTAAGTTGGTGTTCGGACCCGTGACCCATTAACTGAAAATCAACTGGCTAGGAGACACCACTAAGTCAAAACTGAACGAAGTTAGAACAACAATCGAAAGTCGATAAATAACCTACTCATATCACCTCCAACTGTATTTACCAATTAAAGTGTATTTGTAAAATCAGGATTGAGAAAAGGATATCGACTCGACCTACCATACATATTCTAAAATATCTGTGATTGTAATGCTCCAGTGTGCAAAAGGAAAACGACGCATTTGACGTATACCTTTCATTTCTTCAAGATAATAAGCAAACAATTTAACGCTGATTTACTGAAGCACTTACAACTAAGTATTTTTAACCTGATTGTGATTAGCTTTCCACTACTCTGATAGTTGATTCACATTTCAATTTGATTATATCGTCCACTTTACATACGAATTTTCAATTACAGTTGAACATTTTTCTACATAACCTTAGAACTAAATGTTTAGTCAGTTGTAAAAACTATGAAGGATATGGAACAGGACAAATAATTATTGCTATCTGCATATTTTCTCGACCCAGTGTCATAATATTCTCATTTGATTTATTTCCCGCAAAAAAATTTTGAAAGTATGTTGTACATTTAATACTTCTAATAATTCGCTATCATTTCTGGCTGCATACAGCTGATACAGAAGAGTTATTAAGTAAGATTATATCATTTTAACTAAAATATTTTCAACATAGTATTCATCATAAGCAGAAATTAGATGAAGAACTATTGAAAACCTGGAGCATTGGACAGTTGTTTTATATTAGTATGAGACTCCTCAGCAGTCTCAAAAGTTTCAGTGGTTCTTCAACCAATGTCAGCTTCTGATGAAATCAATCAGTTAATGCGCACAAATCAACAATAAAAAGTTTTTTTATCTTGCCTTGTTTAAAATTACCAAGTAAATGAAATGCGTACGATTGGAATGTACAAGCTCAGACAAATTTACACTGTAAGAGGAGACGTAGAGATCAACTGAAGTACATGATCTGCATACACTTAATTTTTAAGCGGCAGATAATCATTGGTTCGAATCCATAACCTAATCATTAAATTACGCCCTGAATAGTTAGGCGATCTCATCAGCCGGTAGAAACTATAGTTTAGTACACGGTAGAACGTTGCTGAGTTGTACCCGATGTAGTCTATAAATACTTATGTATAGTCAAAGTGACCATTGAATACACTGCTTCTATGCATATGATTGTTGATGAACTAATAGTGTTAGTTAAGTGAAGACAATCGGCAGGAAACCCTGGATCTAGGTTTCGGCAATCAAATTTCAACCTGTGAGGCATAGGTCTAAAACCCATTCCGTCTATCGAGGTATGAATAACGAAGTAGTATCGCTAACTCTCAAGCAATTGATACACCTCAGAGCATAGTGCACAAATCCGCGTTTAGTTGTTGAGTGATATTACGCTTCATAATTTACGACTAGAATGCAGTAATATATAACAAAAATGCTACGACAGTTGTCTATTAGACCAAATTACATTATTACAAAAACCAAGTAAAGTGGAAAAACAGGAAGACAAGCAAATAAAATCAATGATACCAGCACCAGTGCAACAAGATTTGAAGAAAACAGGTTTGTAAGAATTGGTGTAGGAGTGTCCCGACAACACTATTGAGGACGATTTCGAGTGACGAATATGAATGGCAATACGACTAAAAGGTTGCATAACTACTTAACATAGCTTTTGTGTTTGGAAGAAGCGGGGATACTAACAACTCGTTGACCATTTTTAGATCAATGAGAAAAGATCTACTTATCTTCAATTGTACATAATAACAGTTGGCAACTGAATTATATCGAACATCAGTTACAAAACTAAGAGTTTGGCACTTGTCTTTAACCAAGGGAAGACGAATACCAAACTACTGAATATAACTTGAAGTTAACAGAAAACTTAGATTTTGTAAGGAATTCTGCCGATTCAGATCTGGTGACCTGAAACAGGCATTTCCCTTGATTTTAACTAATGAGTATTATATCAAACTGTTATATAAATTAAGTGGATATTAGCTTGCATTTTCTATGAAACACCAACTTGTCAAATGAAATAGACATAAAAATTAGACGCATGGAAACAGCAACTGATTAACTGCCAATTAAACTACACCAAAATTATTTTCAGTAGGCTACCGACATCAGTCATTCTATAGGCAGATTATTTTAGTTGAGATGTTGCACAACACAAAGTTCACTTTCTATCCCTTGTAAACCCACAGAAGAGCTTACTGCATAGATGCAAAACAATACACTTTTTCTCGCCACTGGTAACTGTAGAATCATTTAGTATTATTGCTTGTATTATATCGTTGTTCACTGGACCGAAATGATAGGTCTCTATTGGCAAATGAGCTCCTGCGCGGGTGCCTCAATATATTGCCTATGCTTTTAATTATATAGTAATGATGGATACTGGCTAGCACTGGAATCCAAGATGAGCATTTCGTCGTATTTGGGACTCGCCAGCTGGATGTATCTGCCTCCCAGTCAGTGGTATTGTTCCCATTAAGATTCGAACTCGGGACCGATCGCTTCAAACGCCAGTGCGTTATCCAATAGACCATTAAGCCACTTTTTGTGCAACGGGTATAGTTTTAGTGTTATTTTCCAATCAGCAACGGTATAATACAAGCAATAACACTAAAACTATACCCATTGTACAAGAAGTGGCTATCGTGGCCCCGTGACTAGTGGATAACACTCTAGCGCTTGAAGCGACCGGTCCCGAGTTCGAATCCCTATAGGAACAATATCACTCACTGGGAGGCAGGTACATCCAGCTGGCGAGTCCCAAATACGACGGAATGGGCATCCTGGATTCCACTGCTAGTCACTACCCATCATTACTGCAGAATCATTTAGTTTTAAATTCATATTTTAAACGTTTAAAACCTGAGGTAGGATTGTGAAGGATATGACTATTTGAACTTATCATAATACTGAAAATGGATCACTTACATACAGCTGGAGCTGCATGGAGTACAACTGAGTAAACTACCAGTACGGTTAAAGTATGATGAATAACATTACTTAATGATTAACAGAACATCAAGACTTATTGAAACTTCTTCATAAAGATTAGGGGATCCTTCAATAATCATGAAGAGATTTGTATATTAATCTATGGAATTACACCCATGATTACTATGAATTTAAGAAATCTATAGCTGAATACTCTGCATACTTGATGAAACACATGAATATGTGCACACGTGAAGAGTACAAACTAAGATGTTAAATGAGGCACAGCAATACAGAAATGAACCATTTTCACAGGCCCACTCAGAATATGAAAAGATATATGTGTAAACAAAAAAAAAATATAAAATTGGCATACTTTCCACACAGGAACTGCGACGGTTCATTCGTACTTGGGGGATAAAAAGAAAACAACAGAACATGATAACATCAAAAGACTTAAGGAACAGAGAATTCAGACACCTTTTATAAAGAAAAGAGGGAGGAATAGTTTCAAATAGAGAGAGAAAGAATTAATTTTATCCAAATACAATCGTCTAATCACACGGAAGGTTGTTTGTACACAAAAAATGATATGCATAAAATAAACTGCCATAATAACGTAGGAAATTGTCTGCGGTTGGTTAACAAATCAGTGGCTGAATGAATTAGTACTCTTCATGAAACCTGGAAATTATGGGTTTAAGTGAGACAGATTTCTCAAAGAAGTGTTTTCGATTATTAAGGCAATAAAGAAGAAGAATTGTACTGATGGTAAAGACCTCAGTAATCTGAAATCAGCATGCTTTTTGTTTACGTAATCACTATTGTAAAGGATTTTAATACACAAACTTGATACTCTGCACAAAACATTTAATGACCTACGACACTACTGAATGACGCCGAATAAAAATCCTAGTCGACAGTTACTTCTGTTCTTAGCACACTTCCAACTCAAGTACTTGCGGGGTTAAAAGAAAATAGCTAAAATCAGAATCTTGTCAAGTTTAGAGGGTTTCTGTCTAGATAATAACCAACATCGAGAGAAATAATAGCTCATATGTTGTGAAAAGATAATAAACTACCTGTTGTAAGGTAATTGGGCCATTTGAGGTTGGGATTGAGGAGGTTGTTGCTGGAATTGTTGTTCAGAACCGTAGACACCCTTGACACCAGAACTGGGACGTGCATTAAAAGTAGCAGGTTGACCAGAACTGCGACCAACACCAAGCATAACCTAGGTGGGAAAGTTTCAACAACACTACATTTTTTGTATGCACTAATTAATAAATTAAAACAGAATTATTTAATGACAGAAAGTCACGTGAAAATGTATCAAAGTGAAATGCTGAGGAAGATTTAAGTTAGAGCCAACTGTCAACACAAGTCTATAGATTAATTTAGTGGCATCCATCAAATGCAAATATGTAAACATAAATGTTCAATACTAACAGTTTCTAAATATATACAGGATATTTGTGATCCTAGCTCATAATAAATATGGATTAAAGGTGTAAATCTGAGAAAAACACATTTTACGTAGAGCTGTACGCTACACTCAATTTCATCACAACACTTTCGACGAAACTAGTTTCCCCTTTATTTGAGTATCCACTATCTCCAAGTTAAAATAGACAGATCATTTGAAATCAACACCTACCACACAATTAAATGGTACGCTGTCGTTTGATGTCTGTAATTTCCCGCTGCTACACAGGTTCAAAGTGCTCGACTTCTGCTGGCAGATAGGCTCTTATACAAATGCCTCAATACTGTCGAATATCATACTGCTGTATTCATCTGAGTGACTCGCAGTGGAGTTCAGGAAGCACCTTTCGTCTTATTTAGGACTCGTCAGTTGGAAATGCTTGTACGCCAGTGAGTGTTGTTCTCACTGAGACTCAGACTCATCGCTTCAAAATTCAAAGCGTTATACACTACGCCACTGCGACACAAGAGCTACAACTTGTGCAAAGGGTATCACTTTTGTTGTTTGATACTTCTAATTTCACGTTGTTATTCAGGGTCGAATCGCATTAACAAATACAAGTAAGACACCGCTTTCATATGACCATCGTATTATTAAACCACATAGAATAGAAGAAGATGGACAATTCCTGTTAAATAGCAAAGGAAATCATACTGTAAAAAGTTCTACACGTTTGTTACAGGTGAATTAGTGGTCTCTGAATCAGTACATACATACATTTCGTAAAACATAAGTTATACTTTTTATGTTCTGAACACTTTAGATACGACAAACCACCAAAGTAATCAAGGTTATAACATGAAAGGAATGGAAAGAAAAACTAAAAGAGACAACTCACTTGAATTTGATTCCCAGTATAGTCTTTAGTACCTTTGAATACCCATGATTTAGCAATTGGCCCCGTTTCTAATTCATGAACATGCACCATTTTGCCAAAGGTGATTAATCCAACTAGAGCATGTGGTGGTAAGAAGCTCAGTGATAACTGGATCGACTCCTTGAGAAAAATAATTCAGATAAGTGATAACAAAGATAATATAACAGTGAACGCCTTATTGTTGATGAAAAAAACCTATAGATGATAAAAAAATATCGATCAGGGAACCAAGATAGTTCACACGAAAACAATGATTAGAATCGCTGTTTGACACGTAGCGTAGATGACACGCGCCAGAGTTGATTAACATCGTGTCATTATGCAGTGAACATTCAGGAGAGAGATATAAAACGCTTAAATTCTACATTTTCCATTCGAACTATCTAAAAAATAATATCGAAACCTTTCTGATAGATGTTGTTGGGTTACTCGAAGACGAAATGCACACTGATCACCTTGTCAACAACATAAACTAATTTGTGTATGTTAAAAAGTGGTTTCAGACGCTAAGTGCTTGTGAATGACACAATGTTAAGAAATAAGGCGATCACATATCATACTTTGTAGTGCTAATTAACCTTTTTTTCATAAAGTCTTCCCTATATACTTTCACAAAATGATAGACTAGTTTTGTCAAGATAGGTTTGAAGAAAAAATCAGTAGAAATAACAAATTTTACCATTTTATTTTGTGAATCTCCAAGCAGCCTACAATTTAGTATGCTCCTCAAGCAACATGTCATCAAGATTGACACACGTTCAGGCATTACTGCATAACGGTTCAAGATGTCACGATGTCTCATATCAGCACATGAAGTAACAAAGTATGAAGATGGAATTTAATTTTCATGACAGTCGTTCAGGATGAGTCTTTGCTATGAGCAAGTAACATAGTGAAACAATCATCACCACCAACGTCAACATAGGACCAGGCATTAATGCGTTACGGTCCGAGTTGCCACACTTCATATCAGTACATCAAGTAAAAAGCCAGTAAAGCGGAAGATAAAGAAAAAAAAATTCAGTCAAAAGAAATATAAAGTACGGAAAGAGAGAAAATGGTGAAATTCGGTATAGCGTCGTTAAGATGGGGATAATGTTTGTATACATGTGTGCCACTCACATCGGTTCTGAGCCATGTGATCACTTAGAGTCTCCAACCACTGGTTCCTCTTGTCCCACGAACCCCAACCACCCAGTCTGCATCGTCCCACATGGCTCAAACCAACAGTCAAAGACTTCATACATTGATGCCATGTTTAAGTGTGACCACCTCGGGCCTTTTTCTAGCCTGAACCTACTTCGGCCAACATTGTGTGATGAGGCAGGGGCCAACTAGGCATACGTGAGAGATGTCCCAGCCATCTCAGTCGATGGAGGTTCACAACCGTGTCAGTCGACTTACCTCTTCTCCCTAAAACTCTACACCTCACTTCTGCATTACTCACGTGGTGACACCACGGAATACGGCGGCCTATACTACGAAGGCAACGATGGTCAAACACCTGAAGCACTCTCATGTCTCCCACCTTCAATGGCCATGTTTCACAGCCATACAGTAGAACAGACCTGACTGTTATGCAGTACACGCGACCCTTAATAGACAAACGGATATCACGGCGACGCCATAGGTGGCGTAAGTTGACAAAAGCCAATCGAGCCTTTTGTATTCGTGCAGAGATTTCACTAGCCACTGAGATATCAGGGCTGAACGCACTTCCCAGGTGAGTGAAGTGGTCGACACACTCAACCACTTCACTCTCTATTGTTAGTCGTGGCACCGCTGAAGACCAATCCTGGAGCAACAATTTGCATTTGGATGGTGAGAACCACATCCCAAACATTCTCAAATTGCTACTCAAAGTGTTCAGAAGACTCTGCATCTTGTCAGAGTCTTCACTTAACATGACTATGTCATCTGCATATTCTAGGTCTAACGAAAATTCTCCTGTGATTAGGTCAACGTCTGTGTAACCTGGTGACGAGAGGGAGACACCTCCATAAGAATATCTATGATCAAATGGAGAATAAGAATGGACACAGTAGACAGCCTTGACGGACACCACTCGACGAGCACAGCTCACCGGACATCTCACCATAGGTTGTAACACACCCACAAGTGTTTGAGTAGAGAGCCTTCAGTAAGTTGATGTACTTACTCGGCACGCCTTTCAGTGAAAGACATTGCCATAAGACTTCTCGAGCAATGGAGTCGGATTCTGCCTTCGGGTCGAGAAATACAGCCAGTGTCGGGCGTCGGTAAGCATGCCTATGTTCCAAAACCTGGCGCAGTGTGAGTATTTGGTCAATACGCCCACAGCCGGGTCCAAAGCCTGCCTGGTTTTCTCGGGCTTGGTGTTCCCGAGCTCCACTCAGGTATAGAAGAATTATGGAACCTAGCACAGTGAAATAAATGAATAGTTTATTTGACAATAATGTATATATTCACTGCTTTACATTTATGTAGTCAGCTACTGTCCTGTCTTTTATCTTTTGAGAGAGTAGTTAAACAGCATAACAATTACATTTTTTATACATCATCTACTCAAAGCTCAACTTATTTAATTGCCTGAGGTGAAAATTGGATCCTGATATAAACGACAACAAGTGTTTCGTCGGTAGTCTTGTATTTCTCCCAGAGATGTTTGCCAGTTAGTGTGTCAGTATCAATATAGGATCTAGTATAACTGCATTGTAAAGTTTAAACACCAAATATTCTAAATAGAGCAACCTTACCTAGCCATCTGTTTACAACGCTGCTGACTGGTAGCAGTCACAAATAAGATTTCATTTTCATAAGAAATTTGAATAACTCTTATCACTGCTATTTTACATAGCTACCCTAACAACACACGGCACACTACGGTATTATGAGCATTCTGACTGCGCACACCTTTGGATATGGCCTTAAGAATGCAAACTCTTAGAGTCAGATAACAACAGCTACGAGTATAGTGTGATAAGAAACACTTAATATGTGAGCCATGATACTGGAAAGTCGATTTCGTCGCGAAGGAATTTCAATACCCTACAGGAATGTAGACAGAGGAGAGTACAAACACAAGTACGTTTTACTATTTCAACAATCAACAGAAAAGTCAGAAACTAGTGTACACGCAAGAAAAGCAAATCAATAAACGTTGAGTGCGTTATTTCAAGTCACCACACCATCATCATTAAAAGAGCTGCAACCTTACGAAAAGTGAGGAAAACCAACTGCTGATCAAAATGTAAAAAATGTACCGAAACTGTAGATTTATAGGCACAGGAAATGAAAAACGCTTTTCAATTAAATATTGACATTTTTTAAGTATACATAACCGCTCAGTAAAAAAAAACACGAGAAATAGTAGATGGTGGACACAATTTCAACACTTATGCAGTACAAGAATACGGTGGTTGTAACTCAGCTTACGTAATCAGTTGCCTGTATTGACGTTAGATAGGCTACAATCCCGTGAGCAGCAAGGCTGGTACACTTCATAAATCCTAATCAGAAAAGGTACCACAGCTAACTCACCAGCACTCAAAACAAAGCGATATTAGGTAAAGGCTTGATGAAATGTGTATTATGCAATAATACACATCAAACTAAGTCTGTTAGTGCTGTATCATATTGGTGGATCGAAATAAAAGACCGTTAAATTAATTATTAGCTTATTAACTAGGGATCCAGCAACTAACTACAGCTGGATACTTACTTTGAGTTGAGTGAATTCTGGTTCCTCAATACACGTGTCCACAACAAAAACAAAGATTGGAGGGACTGGTTGAACTTTCTACAACAAAATAAGTGTGTATGGAATTAAAAAATAAACTAAAATTATAACACTGATAGTAAAAAGGTGAGTCCATTTTCTCGTCTTTCTACTCTTAACTTTCACTACTGAAACAGTAGGTTATGCAATATACAGTAAAACAAAATACTAACCGATGCATTAGCTATGTATCAAAACATTTACTTCTTTAGCTTACGTGTGGAGTATGTGAAACAAGATTGAAATATAATTACATTTATTGCTCAAACTACTGTTTTCAACACATATTCTTTCACTGGTGATTTCAAGCTCAGGTAATTAGACAATCGATCAACAAAGGAAAAAGGACAGTGAACAAGTAAATTTACGAAACAGTTCAGGACTCATAATATGACTTATCATGATAGTTTTGATTTATGTTATCTAAGGCCTTCAACCACCTATACCTGGTAAACTTGAACGCCTAGACAAACCAATATGAGTCAGACAGACTTAAAAGTGTTACATTTTAGATTAAACGTTATTCCCTTTTTAACGTAGTTGCATTTCATTTATCATGTTTCGTAGGTGAACGGTGGTCAACAATGTGTACATCCTAAAACCTTTATCGGATATGAACCATACAAACTTTTAACCAATGGGTCATGGGTTCAAAAACAGTTCCGCCTACCGAGGCTTTGGTAACCAGGTAATATCACCAGCCTTCATACAAAAGCTTCAGTTTATAGACTGATGCACATTTATTACTATGTATTCCAGTGGTCGAAAATGAAAAACTTTTAAGGTAGTTACCCGACTCAATCCATTAGCAATCGTAGATCCACATAAGATACACTGACAAGACTACAAAAATGATACATAAAATCACTTCTAGCTCAAGTAAGGATGAGAATCCTAAGGACTAGGTCCCAGTTCTTTGCAACGTCTTGATGCCTGTAAATCCATCCAGACGGATGATTATAAAGATGTTCATTGATGTCTTACGAGAAAAAGTATATAATGCCCGTACAAAAATTATGTACCCTGATGGTCACAACAACCAACAGACATGAAGACAACGGTTTACTCATGAGAAAGCTGTTTTGGCTCATTAAAATCACCGGCAGCAAGGAGTCCTATGTACGTCAGACACATGTAAAGACGTTAGATAAGAGTGAAAAAATGAACACTCTAAACTTTTGTTTGAAACAGGGGCTTTTGAAAATATTGGCTACTGTTATACAACGGAAACTATGTAAACTTCATAAGAAACTACTCTGCAAAAAGTAGTTTCGTCTATATTTTGGTCGTAGGTGCATCGGTCATGCTTTCATTAAGTACCATATGCTTGAACATTATCATGTCTGATAGACTTTTCACTAATCGGTTGATTGATTGAATCACATTTACCCAATATAACTAACATACTGCAACATATTACCACATTCATAACTTACAGGGATAGTATATTCAAGTGTGGTAAATTGAGCCATCAGTTCTGCAGGCAACTTTTGTTCGGTCATTCCAGCATACTGAGGTGGAAAATTATTACGTGTGTTACATAGACAACATGTCCATGTACGACTTCTTATGTCAAACTAAAGGTAAATGGAATGAAGACATGAAAATGATAACAACTAAGACGAATAGTACTATAATGAGATGCAGGCAAAATACCATAGAAAACAAAAAATTAAAATGGAACCGGGATCCTGTTTTCTTCTTCGTAAAATGATACGTATTCATATGCTAGACTATAAGTTGGATACCATCACATGTATTGCGGACTAACAACCGTTATTTGGTAGGAAAGACGGCTTCGATTTGTCAGAAACGCCCTCTGGAATTGTCTCTTAGAAAGGTATATCTGTAAGAAATTTATTCACATCTTGATAGCCCCATACAAAGATACCTCAGACAGAGTAAGCAAACACAAATACCTTACTCTATTGTTCCAAACCAGTACTAGGGTTAGGAAGAGTTATCCCGTTTCTTTTCCAGTTAAAATTCTGAAGGTGTATGACAGTGATGTAAATCTCTCACTCGAAGAAAGACACCTGCCTTCAGTATACAGATATCAGTTAACTGTTAGATAATACGAGTTATTTAAATCATACTTAACCACACAGAGATTGGTTTCTGTAAGTACAGCATGTTTTTAACCACCAATGTGCAAGATAATTTTGCTAAAATCCAGAAGTCTGAGTTTAAAGTCTTCGTGGTAGTTGTACAAAATTTCATTTATCTTGGTAGTTGTATAAGTGCTGGTAGAGATCTGAGTGATGAGATTTCCAAACGCATATCGGAAACGAAAGAAGTATACACTAAATCTGGGTTTACTTTAAAGTCATTGTAAAATAAATTTACTTTGCAAAAGGTGGTACTATTCTACGTCTGTGTAACTTGACCTCTCTGAGCTAAGGATAACAAATAACTCTGTGTTTGGTCACAACCACCTCAGTTGGATTGCTACCATTAAGTAGAAACGGGATAAAAGCAATTCTGAGGTGCAGTAGCATGTGTTCAGATGTGACTACGATTGTCATCTTAAAACACCAGCTTCGTAGGTTTCTGCATGTCTTACATATACAACTCGAGTGGTTTTTTTTAGCTCCAAAACTGAATGGAAAACGCTGATGGATGTTTACTTTATGACGAGGTATCGTCAGGTGAATGATAATTAAGGTCAGATGTTGACAGTGTCACCATTGTACGTCCGTGTGACTTAATGGTTTCAGATAATATCACATATATGACAGAAAATCGAACTCAAAGAATGTGATGTAGTACTTTCCCTAAGTTCTATTATTAAAAAGTAGTGCCAAGAAATGAAAGTATTGTGTGGCAGCTTTTACCTGCTTGATCACCTTTTTCTACTCATTTCTCTTTTTGAAGACCCCATCACCATATTTTGTGAGTACCTTTTAATGTCTACACTTTACCCACCTTGTTTCTCAGTAAAATAATTTCTTAAACATTTTGTCTTGCAATTACTTGATAGCATTGCAGAACATCCTTATTAATAATTTTGATAGTAATGATGGATGTTGGCTAGTAACATCACATCCTTATTTATAAGCCTATATTTGTCGCTTTGTCTGTTAATTTAATTATCTTACGTTTAGAAGTACTTCTCAATTGATTTAAGTTACATCAATCTATTTCCTGGGCAAAATTTAGTGAAAAATTTTCATATTACTACTAATACATATCATGCGTTTGTAAATGATATGAATATGTCCAACGGGTCATGGGTGTATATTATTAAAAAAGTAGTTACCAACTGTCATGTATATTGAAAGTTGAAGAGAGAAATTTATGACCAGTCGGCTCTGTATATTTCGGAAAACAGATCGGCGATAATCAAAGTTAGTCACTTGAGTAAACAACAGTGACAACACTAGTCTTTGTGAGATTGCGGATTCGTCCCAATGATGAACGAAAACAAGCACAAACCATACCTGCTGTCCGGCTAACTGTTTTCAAATACATAAACAAATTCATAGTGAGTACACGGGTATTTATCAAACAGATAAAACACTTGGATTTAATAGCAAGCTACGTCAGATTAATAATTTGTGCGGTAGAAACTGAATATATAATATCAAACAATCGTGACTAATACTGAACGTAGGAAAAGAAATAATTCGTGCGAAATTAAACAAAAAGCTATTCAGAATACTTATCCTAAAGTTCATCTCCATAACATATGTGCGACACATACCACCAACCTATTCAAACAAAGAGGCATATAAAAGTCTAGTTCAACACATATAAGCAGCTATTGGAAAACCTGATGAGTTGTTATGCTGACAACTCGTATACCCAAGAAAAACAAAGTCTTACTGGACAATAAGGATTTAGAATACCACGGCATCGAGTGCAGAAAACAGGTTCGTAATTGATTGGAGGAAAGTCATAACGCTCTTTGAATAAAGTATATAAACACCCGATAGGTACTACACATTGAGCAGACTCTAATCGAGAAACAGGCCATGCATTCCAAGAGAAGCGTATCCCATCATTTATCTCGGACTGTTGGATAAACTCAGCCATCGTCGCCATTCTGAAGGGTTATTGAATAGAATCAAACAGGTTATTCTAAACTCTATAATGGAAAAAAACAAGTTATTGATTCAAAAAGTCAGGAAACTTTCACAGTTTCAAGTTTCACTTAACCAGCCACCTAATAAGGAATAGAACTGGTAAAAATAATGTTAGTGTTCTGCAATGACTGACTAACTGACAAAAACAACGTAGAAACTCGCACTCAGGTGCCTAGGCTCAAGTTGTCACACTTCACAGTAGTACACAGAGAACAGGTGAAAAAAGGGATATATAAGTAGATGAAGTAGTGTGAGATAAAAAACAATTTGAAGATAATGGCTACTGCGAATATTCAAGCTTTAGAAGACGATGAATGAATACATCTGCACATTGGGACCGATTTTCAGCCATGTCGCTAAGAATTCTCAACCGCCAATTTCTTCCGTCTCGGGAACCCTAAACAGGCAGTCTACATCTCTCCATAGGACTCAGAGGCGGAGTTAGAGATCTCATCGACTGATGCAAGGTCTTGATCTCGCCACCCTGAACTCTCTTCCCATCAAATCCGCCTTTAACTATCATGGCACCTCGAGGTAGGTGGTGGCTCGGAATGCGCAATACATGTTCAAACTATTTCAGTTAACTAAGGTTCACAACTTTATCAATCCACTAGCCTTTTTCGCCTAGCACCCTTCGCCTGACCTCAACAAACTCGAGCAATGCTGCAAAGACAATCGTAACCAAAACCTTGTAATCGCACTATGTCTTCTACTTTTAACGGCCATGTCTCATAGCCGTATAACAAAACAGAACGAACTCCAGTGGCATAGCATACTCATCGTTTGACAGAGAGTCGGATATCTCGCCAGCAGGAACTAGAGATGACGAAAGTCGGCAAATTGACCTTCAGTATCCGGCCTGGGATCTCGTCAGCAACCATCTCGTTCGGGCTGATACAACTCCTCGACTAAGTGAAGTGGTCAACACATTCCTGCGAAGTCAGACGTACCTGGGGTTATGTTCATTAGTACGTCTATGAAGAAGATAAATAGGAACAGTGACGGTGGACATCCCTGAATACCACTAGTTGTTGTAAGTCTACGTGACTTTTCATAAGATCTGGCACGCCTGCGTGGTTTCGAATAGAAAGCTTTGATTAGCGTTATATACTTTTTCGGTACTCTTTTCACAGTCAGACACCGCCACCACTGCTTGCGATCGACCCGAAGCCTATTGGTCACCTTACGTTGAAGTTGCTTTCACTCTTCATCGTGGTCAGAGTCAGCTGGGATCAGTCTTCTCGCATCAATCAATTCAGATGACGTTGAGAAAATTCAATGACATTTTCAAACCTTTAGGTGTATGCTACCAACTGTCTTTACCGTTATTTCTGCAGCACATTTAATACCACACCAGGATGAGCATTGCTGTCATGTTCAGGTAAATGCTTGGCTAACTCTTCTCTAAATGCGTACTTGGCGTCCTCGTCGTCCAAAGGAGCATAAGCAGGCTCAACAACACCGTTTCCTGAGAACAGTAAGGTGCAGACATACATAAGATCGTGCTGGTGAGTGATCGGAGAGCTAACTGGCACTCCAGAAAGAGTGACAATCCTACAATGATATATGTTCCGAAATCAATAACCAAAGCCCCCACAAACTTCCAAATTGAATTAATGTCTAGTTCTCATTTGTGACTTTTTTCGAGTTCTAATGAGAAGCCATCACCGGTGGGGCAAACCAAATCAAACATGAGGATAGTTACTCAAGTACGGCACTGGATGGAGGACACTATACCGCGAACTGACAGAATTAGGAAGATGTGAACTACTGGGTTACGACCTATCAGCTAAAGAGCAACGTGCTGGTCGAAGAAACTGAAGTTCCAGGGTTGCGCACTACTTAGCGCCATAGTGGGATGAAATAGCTTTCCAGTGCTTCCAGATTTTCAATGGTTCCCATAATGAGTACCATACTGAGATTTTCTTTTAGTCTAGCCGTGCTTGACATATAAACATGATACTATTGGCTGATGAGAATGAGCGGAAAACGTGACTCGAGTAATAGTAGAAGCAATGAAATAAATCAAACCTTTTTGAATAGAAAGCTGTCTTTCAGAATATTTACGCTTTAATACCACTTTGTCTACCATATTATAGTAAGTCTATATAGTTATTCATGATCCAAATGTACAGAACTTTGTCATAAATAAAAGGAAAGTATTCAGAAAGTAGTGTAGAACTCTTAGGTTACTGAAATTAAAATGTAAATGATGGACAACCCCAATCATGCCAACGTACTAGGTGGGGGCGTGTGCACTCAACCAGTCATCAGCTAACAGATTTAGACCATTCACTTCTGAATTGCGAAAAGTTAACCTTACTGTGCAGGCCAGTCACTAACCTGAAGCCTGGTAGGTCACCGGGTCCCTTTAGAATAAACCCTAGTTTGTTAACAGCTGGTATCATTCATCAACCCACTTACAGAGACACTCATTATTTTTCACGCAGGCTCCATTGTTTATGGAATGGAGACACGTAGTTTGTTCCACTTTCAAAGACTGCAATAAGCAATTAGCTACTAACTACCACTCTTTAAATCTTACTTCCATAATTCCCAGTCTTGGAATACAAAGTCGGAGAAAAATTGCTGAGTCGTGAGGCAAAACATGATTTACTGGGGCAGGAGTTACAGTGTCTAGACAAGATACCTATTTCCAAAGAATTCGCTTTTAATCACAGATGAGCGGATGGAGGCTAGAGACACTGAACCACTTGTTGATGTGATACTAATTGACTTGAGACATTTGGTTGCCTTGTTCAGGCTTGCTGAAGAAGGTCGCTGGTTTCGTCAGAGACGCCAACACATAAGTGTTTTAGAGACTACCTTAATAGTAGGATACTACGTGACAGTGAGTGGAGTATTCTACACGGTAGCCAGTTACACGTTGGGCTCTCCAGAGTGCCATGCAAGGGCCGTTTTTATTTTTGCTTGATATCAATGAACTACAGAGAATGGTTAAAGTTATTACCTTTGCTATCTTCAGATGACTTTGAGGTTTGCACTTCACAATGACTTAGATGAGCTAAAAGAATGATCTAAACGCTGGGCTCTGGAAGTGAATAGAAAAGATATTGGAGTAGTCCAAACTGGTTAACACGATGAGTATCATTATTCTGATAGTCGACTGACACTGCCTTGCGTTAGAGAAAAGAATCTAAGATTAGTTTATAACCACTAGAACATAACAGTGTACGGTGATGCGGTTGTAAATAAAACATTCGGGGTAGTTGTTAATTACTCTAGTGAAACACCATCTTAAATATTGCATACAGGTAGTCATGGCTTTAAAGAAGCAGATACACCAAAACGGATTCAGATGGCATGTACCAAGTGAGTGATAGGACTTTCTAAACTTCCCCTTGAAGAGTTGTTAGAAATATAAAACCTTTTCTAATTATCACATTGTATCTTGAGTAACGATCTCGGTATTGACTGGATTTGCTTTTTTACTCTTTCTAGAAAAGGTTATCGGAGAGGCCATCATAATAGGAAGCAAAAGCCGCGATCGGACTAACTGCAATTGAAATTGGATTCTTTCAGAGACTGGCTATTGACTGACCCTTGTTATTGGAACTAATGGTGGTGGCTCCCTCACTATTCAGAGAAAATGCGTCTTAACACACACCTGCAAGAGCTAAAACAGTCTGATTGACTCACTACCCTCAACAATGGATTTTAAGCTAAGTAAAACGGTACGACTTTCAGACTAAATACTCCTGTCAAACAAACCTCACCGTTAGAAAGGAATAGGTTGTAGCATTTGACAGCACTGTTGATAAACGTCATGTTTGACAGTTTCACGTAAAGGTAGTAGGAAAGTTCCCTCCCAGGTTCGGTGCTACATTAAAATCCTGAATTAGTAACAGCAAGCAGAGTGAGGGTTAATGGAAAACTGCTCACGTGAAAACCTGTGGTGAGTGCAGTTCCTCACAGAACAATCCTAGGTCCTCTCCTTTTGTATTATATAAACCAACAACTCTTCGGTGTTGTTCGTCGATGATGTAAAAGTCTGAATAGTCACAAGGAAAGACCGTGATAAGCAGGCACTTCAAGGGAATTTGGATGAGCTAGTAGGTTAGTCTAAGCATTTGTGCCTAGAAATTCACTCCGGTAAAAGTGTAGTACTGCCCACTGGTCACAGTGATTGTTTCCAGTACTCCATTGATGTTACATCACTCCTCGTACCCTTAATGAATTTGGCACTAACATGTCTTACCTCTTTTCTCCTGCCAGGATTGATTACCTCTGAGGCCATTATGAGAAAATGCAAACTCCGCGAACTAACCAACCTAGCCTTGACCTCCGTTTCTCCCGTACAGTGACCAACGTCCGGGACCCCCCGACACGGGTGTGGTACCACTTTTTTTCATTGGACAGGTTCGACGAGAAACTATATTTTTGGACGGATACTTACAGCAAGGATCAACACAGGACAACTGACCCACTATCCTTAATACTGAATACTGACTGTATAGAAAGTTAATAATAGCCTTACCTGTAGGCTGCCACAGGAAAATCGAGAAACTTGGTAAGTATGCTGAATATGTGAATATTTCAAGAATCGGTAACTCCTACGAAATAAAAGCTACATCCAGGACCTATCCTGTCCAGTCTACAATTTCGTCGGAACAAATAGGGAAACGTTGCACCTTGAATCCGATATAGGGCCAGATGTAGAGCACATGAAGCTAAACGTCGGGACAGTTTCCGCTTGGCCAATAATCATTACGTGCGACAAGATGTCAGCCCATTTCTTAAAAACTGATGACCAAATATGCCAAACATGGAGGCAGTTACATGGCTAAAACAACACAGCCCGGCTTGGGGAAAATCCTGAAAAACCCTACTCCTGGCCCTACATTTTGCCAAACGTTTTCTATAGTCAGTGGCCCAACATTCCCCTATTTCGCCCGACAAAAATATCGACTGGCCTGCTGTCTCAATTCTGAGCACCCA